AGTAAAGGTTAGTAGCAAGTTTAAATTTCATTAATTTTTTTAAATAAAACCTGTACAGTATGGGATAAATTAGGGAGGTCGTCTTGTGAGCCTGGAACCTAAACCCTTATTTCCCATAGACCCTTGGTGTCTTTTTACGTGATTTCTATTTGCACGGTGTTTGTTCAAGAACATAACCACCTTGTAAATCGAGGCCTGACTGTATCTAAATCTATTAAAACCCTTATCTCTAGTAACATTCCAAGCGGCTTGGGGGGAAAAAAAAAACACTTTTAAGTGTTAAAATTAATAAATGCCTAATAAAGTTTTACTTTTTTACATAAGAAAACTTCATCTAAGGTGTTTTGATTGTTTGAGCAACAAAGTCATTTCCGAAATGCAGCGTTAACAGTAAAAATGTAATTGATAAGTACTCCCACAACAAACTAACATACCCTTTTTAAGAAGGGGTGAACAACATTGAGATGGAGCCAAGCTCAATAAAGGTTAAACTAAGTCCAAACCTTTATAGTTTGAAATTCATAAGTAAATTTTCCACTCAGAACATACATTTATGACAGTCTCAGTTAGCAAGATACGGGACCAACCTGGCTACAACACCACTGCCCACAATAATCTAAGCTAATGTACTCAATGCTTTTTTTGCCTCTGTGTTCACGAACAAGGTCAGCTCCCAGATTGCTGCCCTGGGCAGCACAGCATGGGGAGGAGGTGACCAGCCCTCTGTGGAGAAAGAAGTGGTTTGGGACTATTTAGAAAAGCTGGATGAGCACAAGCCCATGAGGCCGGATGCGCTGCATCCGAGAGTGCTAAAGGAGTTGGCAGATGGGATTGCAGAGCCATTGGCCATTATCTTTGAAAACTCATGGCGATTGAGGGAGGTCCCCAATTTTTATTTTAAAGTTTGCTTTATCTGCTGTCTGGTTTTTGAGCCTTTAGGATTCACGGTTTCAAGCTTTTCTCTTCAATGATGTGTGCTGCAAACTTGCTTTGTAAAAGAAAGCGGCAATTCTCTCACGCCTGACTCCAAGAGCTGGCCTTTAAGAAAATCACCAAATTGCAAGACTTGTGATAAAATCTCAAGAGCTGGCTACCCTGGTCAGACCCATTGATACAATGCTTTACAAACCCAGAGTTATGTTAATATCTTTCACTGCAGTAGTATATAGGAGCCCAGTCACGGACCAGCATCACTTTGTGCCAGCTGCTTTCCAAACAGAACAAAAAGGCTGTTTCCTGCCCCCAAAGAATTTATAATATAAATAAGACCCACATGAGGCATCAGCTGGAGGAGAAGGTGAGAGTGTTCCCAGTGAGGATAAAATGGAGATTTTTTTTTTTTTTTGAGAGGGGACCCCTTGGTGGGTAAGGAAAGGGAAGTCTGTTCACCTTATTCATTCTTAGCCGTGAGTGTGGCCACTACCTGTGCTAAAAGAACGAGGAGTACAGACAGGACCTCTGAATCCTGAACACACACACACACACACCCCCACCCCCGGGGCTGATAATAGCTCACCTGAACTGATCACTCTCATTATAGTGAGTATGGCAACACCCATGTTCTCTGTGTGTGTAAAATAAAAAAAATCTTCCTACTGAATTTTCCACTCCATGCATCCGATGCAGTGAGTTTTAGCCTGTGGAAGTTTATGCTCAAATCAATTGGTTAGTCTCTAAGGTGCCACAAGTTTCAGAGTAACAGCCATGTTAGTCTGTATTCGCAAAAAGAAAAGGAGTACTTGTGGCACCTTAGAGACTAACCAATTTATTTGAGCATGAGCTTTCGTGAGCTACAAATCACTTCATCGGATGCATACCGTGGAAACTGCAGCAGACTTTATATACACAGAGAGAATATGAAACAATACCTCCTCCCACCCCACTGTCCTGCTGTAATAGCTTATCTAAAGTGATCATCAGGTTGGGCCATTTCCAGCACAAATCCAGGTTTTCTCACCCTCCACTCCCCCACACAAATTCACTCTCCTGCTGGTGATAGCCCATCCAAAGTGACAACTCTTTACACAATGTGCATGATAATCAAGTTGGGCCATTTCCTGCACAAATCCAGGTTCTCTCACCCCCTCACCCCCCTCCCAAAAACCACACACACAAACTCACTATCCTGCTGGTAATAGCTCATCCAAGTGAGCTGTAGCTCACGAAAGCTCATGCTCAAATAAATTGGTTAGTCTCTAAGGTGCCACAAGTACTCCTTTTCTTCTAGTGGCGTTCTGTTATTTTCTTTGTTGGGCCTGTCCTGTAGTAGGTGACTTCTAGGTTGGAGGGCTGTCTGTAGGCAATGACTGGCCTGTCTCCCAGGATTTGTGAGAGTGTTGGGTCATCCTTCAGGATAGGTTGTAGATCCTTAATAATGCGTTGGAGGGGTTTTAGTTGGGGGCCGAAGGTGACGGCTAGTGGCGTTCTGTTATTTTCTTTGTTGGGCCTGTCCTATAGTAGGTGACTTCTGGGAACGCTTCTGGCTCTATCAATCTGTTTCTTCACTTCAGCAGGTGGGTATTGTAGTTGTAAGAATGCTTGATAGAGATCTTGTAGGTGTTTGTCTCTGTCTGAGGGGTTGGAGCAAATGCGGTTGTATCGCAGAGCTTAGCTGTAGACGATGGATCGTGTGGTGTGGTCAGGGTGAAAGCTGGAAGCATGTAGGTAGGAATAGCGGTCAGTAGGTTTCCGGTATAGGCTGGTGTTTATGTGACCATCGTTTATTAGCACTGTAGTGTCCAGGAAGTGGATCTCTTGTGTGGACTGGACCAGGCTGAGGTTGATGGTGGGATGGAAATTGTTGAAATCATGGTGGAATTCCTCAAGGGCTTCTTTTCCATGGGTCCAGATGATGAAGATGTCATCAAGATAGCACAAGTAGAGTAGGGGCGTTAGGGGACGAGAGCTGAGGAAGCATTGTTCTAAGTCAGCAGTAAAAATGTTGGCATACTGTGGGGCTATGCGGGTACCCATAGCAATGGCGCTGATTTGAAGATATACATTGTCCCCAAATGCAAAATAGTTATGGGTAAGGACAAAGTCACAAAGTTCAGCCACCAGGTTAGCCGTGACATTATCGGGGATAGTGTTCTTGACGGCTTGTAGTCCATCTTTGTGTGGAATGTTGGTGTAGAGGGCTTCTACATCCATAGTGGCCAGGATGGTGTTATCAGGAAGATCACCGATGGATTGTAGTTTCCTCAGGAAGTCAGTAGTGTCTCGAAGATAGCTGGTAGCGCTGGTAGCGTAGGGCCTGAGGAGGGAGTCTACATAGCCAGACAATCCTGCTGTCAGGGTGCCAATGCCTGAGATGATAGGGCGCCCAGGATTTCCAGGTTTATGGATCTTGGGTAGTAGATAGAATACCCCAGGTTGGGGTTCCAGGGGTGTGTCTGTGCGGATTTGATCTTGTGCTTTTTCAGGCAGTTTCTTGAGCAAATGCTTTAGTTTCTTTTGGTAACTCTCAGTGGGATCAGAGGGTAATGGCTTGTAGAAAGTGGTGTTGGAGAGCTGCCGAGCAGCCTCTTGTTCATATTCCGACCTAATTCATGATGACAACAGCACCTCCTTTGTCAGCCTTTTTGATTATGATGTCACAGTTGTTTCTGAGGCTGTGGATGGCGTTGTGTTCCGCACGGCTGAGGTTATGGGGCAAGTGATGCTGCTTTTCCACAATTTCAGCCCGTGTACGTCGGTGGAAGCACTCTATGTAGAAGTCCAGTCTGCTGTCTCGACCTTCAGGAGGAGTCCACCTAGAATCCTTCTTTTTGTAGTGTTGGTAGGGAGGTCTCTGTGGATTAGTATGTTGTTCAGAGGTATGTTGGAAATATTCCTTGAGTCGGAGACGTCGAAAATAGGATTCTAGGTCACCACAGAACTGTATCATGTTCGTGGGGGTGGAGGGGCAGAAGATGCCACAAATCCTCCTTGTTCTTTCTGCTGATACAGCCTCACAGGGCTGCCCCTCTGAAACGTGTCGTTTGTGCTAAGTCGTCCAGCCAAACCTCTTGCAGCAGGTGAGCATTTGAGAGATCGTTATAACACCGCAAGCTAACCCTGTCCCATGATTGTCCCCTGACTGGCTCTAGGCAAACCAGGAAGCTTCTGTCTGTATGGAGGCAGGTCAGGGCTAGAGCAGTGTTGGCCAATGAGGGGAGACACTGAAAGCTGCCACTAAGCTCAGTGAAAAAAAACTTGACTGGCCAGTTTGGCAGAACTGTTTCCGGCCCTCTCCCTTCTAGTTCTTTAAAATGAAATCCACCCCCAGGGGAATCCTAGCCCAGGCGTGTGTCTACACTGCAATCAAACCCCATGGCCCTGAGTCGCTGAGCCTGGAATAATGGACTCAAGTTTGTGGGGCTGGGGCTGCGGGGCTAAAAATAGCAGTGCAGATGTTCCAGTTTAAGCTCACCTGCTATTTGTAGCCCAGCAGCCCCAGCCCTGTGAGCCGGAGTCCACTGACCTGTGCCGTGGGTTTGTCTCTGTGGCGTAGACACAGTACCCAGCCTGCCTCCCTCTGGGTGCGTCTCCCTCCAGATAAATATTGAATAAGACAATTAAATTCAACAGCCGAGTGCTGCCTGTCTACATGCCAGCAACGCAGTGTCAGAGCTGCACTTCTCTACGTCCAGCACAGTAATATCTGGGCTGGTTTTACAGAGCAGTGAGTGCGAGGAATGGAGCAAGGTGCTGTGGGCTGGCCAGCTCCATAGGCTCTCTTAGAGCTGGGAGTGGGTGGATTAGGGTTCACAGGTCCTGTCTGAAGCTGAGTAGCAAGCTGCTCTGGGGAGACTTGGTTCTGAGTCAGGATGGGCGGAAAACTAGGGATGGGTCTTGATAGCAGGTTTCTAATCCCTGAGATTGATCTCAGTAGAAGTTGAGCAGAGTTCACAGCCCTGGTGAAGAGGAGTGAGAAATACATCTGGTCCCTATGGGCAGCCCAGTGTCCCCAGCATGCTGTTGGGTTGCCGTGCTGATCACTTTTCTCCTTGTTCTTGCAGTCTGAGATTTTGTCCCAGGAGTGTCCCTGGCCTCGCCTGGCATGGAGGACAGTCTCACAAGGCCTTCGAGCCCAGCAGGACTCTCCTGTTACATGGCAGTCTCTCAGCTGTTAGGTTTGACTGTGATTGCCATGACCGGAGCCTGGATGGGCCAATACCGGGGTGGTATTGCTTGGGAAAGTGCGCTGCAGTTCAACGTCCACCCTCTCTGCATGATCATTGGCATGGTCTTCCTCCAAGGGGATGGTAAGTTGGGATCCTGATGTTGAATTGCTGAAGGGCTAAGAGCATTCAAAACGCTACCTACCTCTCAGCCAGGCTTCTGAGCTCAGCTGGAAATGACCCCTTCACTGCCACAATCACACAGATGCCTCCGGCTGCTTCTCTGGAAAGTCTAGGTGTGTCAGTGCAGCCTTAAAAATGGAGTGACTCCTGATTTCCATGTGAGTAATTGGCTTGGGATCGTGGCCTTCATACCTTTCATTGCATGGCTGCGGTTCAGCAGTATTAGGGCTTTGACACTACGAAGGTAACTCGGTCCAGGTAACCAACCTGGCCAAGGACAAAGCTGTCCCCCCGGTGTTAGCAATGGGGACTGGAGCTGGGGTAATATGTAGGGTGACCAGATGTCCTGATTTTTATAGGGACGGTCCTGATATTTGGGGCTGTCTTACATAGGCGCCTATTACCCCCCACCTCCTGTCCCGATTTTTCACACTTCCTGTCTGGTCACCCTAGTAATAGGTGCACTGACCCTGTCTGCACTGGGTTACTTCAGTACGAGGCACGTACCTCTTCGGCCTTGGTGCTGGAGTAGGATGTTACCAGATCCCTCATCTGTCTCTGGTGACAGTGCAGTGAAACCCTATGAAAAGCAGCCGCGTGCGGGTAGTGAGATTCCTGCTCTCACTACCCACACAGAACCCGCATCAGGCAGAGCACTTAGCAGGGCTGCCTGGAGGTCGGCGTTGGGCCCTGCTCCGTTTCACACTAATGTGATTCTGGAGAGCTGGGGGCAGTAATCGTCTCCCAGACGGCCACTTGGGCAGAGAGCCAGTTGCCGCTGAACAGAGTCGTGATGGGGAAAGTGCATCAGCAGGTGCCCCCCAGACAGTCCCTGGGGCTTAAAAGATTAATTGTAGCAAATTAAATTTGGAAAAGGCAGTTGGGAGAACAAAAGTGCTTTATGCTCCCGTCAACATGAGTCATCCTCTGCCTCCCTCCAGCGGCTCTGATGCATTCATTTTAGTGCTGATTCTTCCCTCCTCAGGGCCCCGGGACCCCACCGCTCCCAGGCTTCGTTTGCTGCGCTTAGCCCACCTGGCCTGGGGAAGGCTCCCTTTGCTCTGGGCTGCAGAGCTGAGGAGGCTGTTCCCTGCCCACCCCCACTGCCTGTCTCTCACACGTTTCTCTCTCCCAGCTCTTCTGGTTTACCGGGTCTTCAGGAACGAGACCAAACGCTCGGTCAAAATCCTCCATGGGCTCCTCCACGCCTTTGCGCTGGTCATCGCCCTTGTGGGTGAGTCTCGGATGCCACAGTGGAAAGGTGACCTGGAAGGACCCACATGGCAGTCCCCTGCCCCTAAGGCCACTGTGTTGGCTGGAGGCTTCCAAGAGCAGCGGGTCAGTGGCGTCCTGCTCAGGAGGCTTTTAAATCCACCCTCTTCTGTCACAACAACAAGATCATCCCAGAAAGGTTCCCAGAGCAGAGCCTTTGCTCCCCAGGCTCAGCGCCTGCGGTTTGGGGCTCTTCTCCCCATGCCAGGTTGGGGGGCAGGTCCAGCTGGCCTTGCTGTTTACAGGCTGGACCCCCAAGTGAGGGGTGTGTGCACCTGGGCTAACGAATGGGACTCCAGTGCTGATGAGAGCCCTGCTTTAACCGGCCGCTTCCTGCCGTCCCTGCAGGTGTGATAGCCGTGTTCGATTACCACAGGAAGAAAGGCTTTGCCGACATGTACAGCCTGCATAGCTGGTGTGGAATAACAGCCTTCAGCCTCTACTTCATCCAGGTGAGGAGGAGGAGGGTGCCCTTCAGGAGAGCTATGTATGTGCCCGACAGGCAGAGTTCTCCAGTGGTTAGAGCAGGGGCTGGGGGTCAGGACTGCTGGGTTGTATCCCCAGCTTGTTTTGAATCTCCAGGCTCTGTTCCTTGGCTGCAGGCCGGAGCTTGCGGCTGTGCCAGCATCTAAGCAGGGCTTGGCTGGACTAGCCCACACTCACCATCCTTGGTTAGCTGGACCAGGACCTAATTTGCTCCAATTTCTGAGGCCTGTTGTAATAACACTAAATTCCAGTGGGAAACCTGGGCTCTGCAGTGAAAGGTCCTTTAAGCCCCTCTGCACTTTCTTCTCCTCCTCCAGTGGCTCATGGGCTTCAGCTTCTTCCTGTTTCCTGGAACGTCCTTCTCACTCCGCAGCAGATACAAACCACAGCACGTCTTCTTCGGTGTCTTCCTCCTCGTTCTCTCCATTGCCACGTGTTTGCTAGGCATCAAGGAGCTGCTCCTCTTCAATATCCAGTAAGTGATTGAAGCATCTGGGTTGCGGCTTCTGCCCTTTGAAATTCACAGCGTCCCCCGTGAGTTTAGAAAAAGACACCCTTGCCACAGGCCGGCACCTCCCCAGGAAATTGAGTGAATGGGTCGTACGGACCCAGATTTCAATCCTATCACTGAACCTCCCTCAGTGTGAGGGCCCTCACCTCATAAACATGGGGCGTTCAGTTTGATAGATTTTGTTAGCAATTCTCCACCAAAACTGTGACAGATTTCTGTTCCCAATCTGCCGGAGGCGTCAGGTGATCAGGCTCAGGCCACAGGATCGTCGGAGGGGGAGATGATGGAGCACATCAAGCAACTGAGTTTTAAAGCTTTATTGATAAAATAATAAAATAACAGCGGAGAGTGATGGGTGCTCCCCACGTCACTCAGAGGAAGGACGAAAACGTTGGTGCCCCAAGCCCTAACCCACTTTCATACTCATACCCGCACTACCTGAGGCTGGCCAAGCCTGGGTGTAATGTAAGAAGAAGAGGGGGAGGGGTGGACAGGAGTACTGTCCTGTGTGCACAGGTTGTCCAGGGTCTGCTGCCAATCTCCAATTTGCTTCAGCTCTTGGGAGGGTTTTAAACCTTAGGGTCCTCTGGGGGCATCTTGGTCCGGGACTTTTGCCCCCCTGTGCTCTTTGTACTGGGTCCAAGCCAGCCTTTTGTGGCTTCTTCGGTTTTTCCCAAAACATCCTGGCTTTAGGGATGCTACATCAGTTGTTTTCCCCCTCGTTGGCCCTGCAAAGGAACCTTTCACCCACACTCACACCTTTAACCCTTCCCAGAATACTTTGCAATGCCTACAACAGCATTAGCAACATAAGTGCTGATCTGCCTTCCCTTGGGGGGTGTGGGGGTGTGACGACAGCCCCTGGCTGGTTCAGGCCCTCAGTGGGCAAATCTGACTTTTCTCAAAGACAATGGCCCCTGTGGCAAAAATATACAGAAGAATCCCTGGCCAGTGCCAGCAAAACTTTCCCTGGTGAGCTGGGGGAACTGCCCCTCCAGGGACGTAGCAGGGTTACCCACGGCCCCCTAATGATTGGAGCTGTTGGAAATCTTTCACCTGAAGAATTTGCCAGTAGAAAACGTAGATTGAAATGTTTTACAGGATTGTTTCTGATGGGGAGAATTGACGTGGGTTAGTGTAAATTACACTACCAATGGCAAACCCCCTTCTTTGATTGATCCCTCCAGCATGTGCAGGCGGGGCGGTGTCAGCTGTCGGTTAACCCCAGACCCAAAATGGCTGGGAGATGCAATAGCACTTCAAAGCCCTTCTCACTGCAGGCAAGACTCCCAGTCCCCCCCGCCCCCAAACCACCTCGAACACAGCTCTAGGAAACCCTGCTGCAGATTTGGCTCCATACTTGCCATGCTGCTGCTGTGATGGGGAGCGTGACACCCCCGTTTTAGAACAGGCAATTGCCTGAGGCAGCAAAGTAGCTGGAGAGCATTTCTTGCAGCTGTAGTGTTTGCCATCTCGAACCAGACCATTAGCATGTGTTCTTGCCTCTGGCCGTGGCCACGAACAGGTGCCTCAGAGGAGAGGAAACGCTCCCACTGCAGCCTCAGGAAGGTTGGGTGTGATTTCCTGGGCCGTGGGTGGGAGAAGCTGGTAGAGAGGTCTGGGCTGAACCCCAGGGAGCCAGTTGTGTGGCAGGGCAGACGTTTTCCTCCTCGGGGTGCTCCCTGCTGGAGGGAGCTTTGTTCTCAGCACAGCCCCTCTCTGCTCCTGCAGGGCCACCTACAGCTCATTCGTGCCAGAAGGGATCCTGGCCAACGTCCTGGGCCTGCTTCTCATCGTCTTTGGGCTGGTGATCGGCTACATCCTGACGCGGGACGAGTGGAAGCGGCCGCCCCTGGCTGAGGAGCTGGCCCTGTCCATGGATTTTAAAACCCTCACTAAGGGGGAGAGCCCCAGCGGCAGCCAGTGATGGCTCCCTGTGCTGGGGTGGACTTTGTGGTCGTTGCTCACTCCTGCATGTACCAGGGTCTGTTGCTGGTGTGTTGGTGTTGCTGTTACCTCTCTGCCACCTGCTGGTGGTTACGCATACAGCTGGCGTGAGGGGGAGCATTTGCTTTAAGCCCCCGTCTGCAGGGGTGCTGTGTGCCAATGTAGCAGCTCTCCCAGCCCCAACCTGGCATCACGGTGCTCTGAGACCCTGGGTTGAGCCACGTTCTCCCACTGAGGCCTTATGCCATCCATGGCCACTCCCCTGCCACCCAAATCACAGGGGATGGGAGCTGCTCTTTGTATGTGCCAGGCTCAGGGGCGTTCCCAGCTGGCTGAGCTGCTGGCGGGGGTTTGGTTCCTTCTCCAAACCACTGGGGGCTGGATCCCTTGCCCCTCAAACAGCAGGACTGCAGCATTTCCATTTCCCAGCCTGCCTGGCACGGCAGCTTGAGGACCACTAACTCCAGGGTGGCCGAAGGTCAGGGCCTGGCTCGCTCCTTCAGTTGCCTGCACTGACTTCTTATCCGTTCTTGAGTTCACTGAGAAGGCTGAGTGGTATGGTTAATACCAACCCCAGTTCTCCAGCACCCTGGTGTTAAACCCTCCCTCACTTGCACACAGTGAGCCCCTTTCCCCATGTTGAATGCCAAAGCTTTCTGTGCCTCTCTGGCTGTGGCATTTGTCTAGCCCTGACCGTTCTGCAGCCATGTCCTGAGCGTAGTGCCTCTCCAGGTCCCTGCTGGCAGCAGAACCGGCGGCGGGGACATGTGCTGTTGTCTGCCCTGAGGAAGATAACACCCCCGGCCCTTAAGCCCAGCCCAAACATCAGTGTTTTTAGAAATCCTCGTCCCTGGTACCTCTCGTTCCTGACAGGGCCCCCAGGGCTCTCGCTGGCAGCTCCAGCCAGCTGATGTTGGGCAGAGCAGACGTGCTGGTTGGTGAGGGCTAGTGACTGGGTGGGCAGTGAATTTTTTTAAAAATTATGTTCAAGTAAAGGCCTGGTTTCCCCCAGCTGTCACTGCAGGGAGCACGGCCCGTCTGGCAGCTGGCCATGGGTCACTCGTGCAGTGGCTTTTCTAAAATGCAGAACTTTCCCATCTACCCCTTTGTTTGCTCTTCTCGGTAACTAGATACCGGACTTCAGGCATTGCTGGTGCCTGGTGATACTGCAGCAAAGACCTCGCCTGTCCTGCAGGGTCTTTGTACCGATCACCTGTTAAATATTCCCTTCTTGCACGCCCCACACCAGCTTTGTTAGCAGGATGAGGCAGGGATCTAGGTTAGCAGACTGAAGTATCCCACAGACTAGAAACAGCCTGTTTAGAGCCTTCTAGTCATCCTAGGGCCTTTCCCCAAAGCGTGGGCGGAGCACCTTCCCCCCCCCCCCCCGCTTACAGTTAATAGACTCAGCTTTGTGGTGTGTGGCCCCGGGCACTTGCCCTGCTTGCCAGCCCTGGCTTTTACATGCAGAGAACCAGTTGCTGTGGAGTTTTTATCGCCTGTTGAGGGGAGGGGCTCTGGAAGGAACAGGTGGAGAGCCCCTGCGCTGGGAGATAACGGTGGGGGGGTCCTGGCTGTTACTTAGCAGATACTGCTCGTAAACCCAGAAAAACTTCACCACGTGGCTGTTGATTTTCTTTGTAAACATTTCCCCAGCCTCTGTTCAGTGCAGGCCCCTAAAGTGTCCTGAGCCCAATAAAGAGCTGCGGGTTCGCCTGCCAATCCTAACCCCGCTCCCACCACAGCCTCCCTTTCAGACCCCCCCCCCCGAGCAGGGGCCTCTGGAGTGATGCTGGCTCTGTTTAACTCCACATTCAAGCTGGGCACCCAAAAATCACTAGTCCCCTGTGAAAACCTCAGCTCAGATTTTACTTCCACTGCCAGAGACACACTTAAGTAAAGGTCCGTTTGGAACTTCTGTAGGGAGAGAGATCTGGCTAGAGCGTTTTCTAACAATGGCAGGGGGGCCTGGCTGGTTTTTGAAAGACTTGTTCTACGGCTGTTTTCCCTTGTCCTGACTATGGGAAGAGGAGCGAATGAAGGGTGTGCGCAGAAAAATTTGTGCAAAACTATTACAGCCAGTGTCTGAAATCCTCTCTCCCCAGACTTGAGTGGAGCCAGGATTTCACCCACTCTTCAGGCTGATCTTGTCTCTCAGGAGGACCAAGGCAAGTCCCTTTAGCCTGAAAAACAAATGGCCAACTCTGTAAGGTTTGCTCAGAGAAGTAACACCCTGTTAGAGATGAGTGCACTGCTGGGAAGGGAAACACGGCCCTAACTGCCAATAACCAAAAAAAAAAAACAAACTTGTATCAAACAGAGGGTGTAAAGTCCCCTGAGAAAACACCTGCCAGCAATGTGTATTCGCAGCAGATTCTTGTACTACGCCAAATGCATATTCCTGAACTGACCCCAAATATTGCAACTAATGTTTACATGGATGATTATTGTATAGGCTTTGTTTTAAAACAAAATATCTTTAAAGCCATGTCGAAGGAGCCGCAATCAGTGCACGGGGCTGGTGGCTCATAACGGCTAGTAAGGAAAAAACCTGTTAATGAAATGCCGAGCTAGACAGTCTGTTTGAATTCTAGTTGTGGCACCTTAGAGACTAACCAATTTATTTGAGCATGAGCTTTCCTGAGCTACAGCTCACTTCATCGGATGCATTCACGAAAGCTCATGCTCAAATAAATTGGTTAGTCTCTAAGGTGCCAAGTCCTCCTGTTCTTGTTGCGAATACAGACTAAGACGGCTGCTCCTCTGAAACCTGTTTGAATTCTGTTTGCCTGTACTGTACTGCACCTGAGTCGATCAATAAATCCTGGTAATGAGCATGTGCCACTCTTTGTATTCTTTCTAGCTGGCCAAAGGAAGCACAACTCCTCGGGTAGTCCTGGGGCCAACAGATTGAGCAGCCTGATTACTTCACAGTCATTGCCTGCTTTCAATAAAGGATATATCCATCACCTCTGAGAAGCTGTAGCAAATACGTAAATTAAGGCCCCCATAGCTTGGGTGTGTGAGTTGGGGCCTGGTCCTGAGGGGCTCAGACTTAGTTTAAGGGCCAGATTTGTAAAGGCATCTAGATGCCTAAACATGCATCTAACCCACCCACCTACCTTTCAGTAATCTGGCCCCATACAACTTGTGCCCAGCGTCACAGCATGCTGAAGCACTGAGTGCAGTGCTTAACCGCGGGATTGCCCCTGTGCAGCTACTGCCCTTGTCTTCAAGGGTGCCACAGCCAGTGTGGCTCAGAGGAGAGTGGGATATACCACCTCTCGTGCCTAGCTAGACAGCGAGCCACTCACATGCTGGGGTGTGTGAGCAGCGTGCTGCCGCATGGCGGTACCAGCAGGGCAAGGCCAGCGTGGCACTGGGCCGTCTCTTTGGGAAGGTGGGTTGCTAAAGTGCAGTCACGCAATGCTTCCCCACGAGCAGCCAGCCCAAGAGACCGCAGGGGCCCTGAGGTTCTACCTTGAGGCAGCCGGTCTCCAACTGGGGTAAGCATCGTGCTCTGCAGGGCTGCTGGAAGCAGGCTAGTCCAACAAAAATCTGTTCTAACTACGCAGCTGCCAATCACGAGGAGTGGCTAACAGGCTCTTCCGTATTTTAGCTGAGGCTCATAAGGACTGTTGGGTTAGGTGGTCACCTAAATTCCCTTGCAATACCAGCTGTCTATTAGTCCAGGTCATGTTATTTATCAACAGCTCAGGGTGCTGGAATGAGCCTTTTCCTCTTGGGGGAATAGTGGAACTGGTACAAGAAGATGGAGGCAGCCTGTGGGATCCACATACAAGCTGCTCTGCTGGGGAGAGGAAGAGACTGGTTCATTCTCCTGCATCCAGCAGGAATGACGAGGGGGCAGACTCTCCCCCACCCCCATACAATAACACAGGCTCCCGCAGTGGAGCATGCCATCCTGTTTCGTTGCATCTCTGTGTGGCTGTGCTAAGACACAATTGAATTCTCTTAATTTCAGGCTGCAGCAATGAGGAAAACACCAGGCCAGACTCTTTTCAAGTGTTAACCATTTATAAATAAGTACATTTTTTTTCATACGTACAGGTCATTGTACAGAGTACAATCTGTATACATGGGGGCAAATGCATTCATTTGAACTTTTCACATCTATCTCACAGCTCACATGTACAGACAAGAAAACGCTGCTCAAGCAAATACAGCAAAGGAAAAAATAGTTTTTCTTTCCTTGTACGTCAGAGGCTGAGGGCCTCAGTTGAGTGCAGGAGTTGCCTTCCCCCTGCACAATATCACAACTGTGTCGTGTTCAATATATCCGTAGAGAGAACAGAACATGCATTGAGTAATATACTGTACAGAGAAAGTCCTTTACATCAGAATTATAGAAAAGCTAAAGGAAAATTAAGTGTCTTAAAGATCTTCCCAGCAAGTGTCTTGAAGGATGGCAACCAGTACTATTTATTTAGTACAGATCATCCAAGGGTATATCCTGTACATCTTTGTACTAATTCAAATCCTCTTGAAAGTGGAGCGGACAGAACAGAGACAAAAATGCTGTAATACTACGGACAGTAAAATGCTGGACAGACATGACACCGTCACCGCTGGAAGCGACCACATTGGAATCTCTAGGTTATTGATGTATTGGCAAAATGGACCTAAGCACAGAGCGACTCCCCTAGTTTGTCTGCTATGTCAGGGCCCACCAAGGCATAGTGCAGCTAGTGACCTACCTCTGAGGCTTTCCCACCAACCCCTAACAAGACTCTGTGTTCTAGCAGTGGCCAGGCCCCATCTCCTTCGTAACTGAGCAGTAAGCGTAAAAGCTCCAGCTCAGGTTGCTAAGTGGCATGAGTGCAGCCGAATGGCTGGTAGAATATAAAGGATACAGTGTATTGATCTGGTGTCCATTCCCTTTAATAGCGCTGATTGGGTTAGTTTTCTCCTGGGTGTCGTGTATACATCAGGAAAAGGTTCCAGTGTGATTCAGCTGTTGTCAGGCGTTGCACACAAATGAATCTTGCTAAATTATTCAGCCCTTAGTGGTTTGTATTAGAAAAAGAGTTTGATTGAATAAAAGTCCATCAATTATTCAAGTAATTCTGAAAAAGCAGATCCACCTTCACCATTGTGCTTGTGTCCACATGCATCCCCACCAAATTTTCCTTTGAGCAACCAGAAGTGAGTAAAGGCATTTTGCTATGGAGGTCTCTGCGAAACTGCACAGTAGATACAGTAGCTATTACCCTAAGCCCTTGTTTAAAGATCAGTAATTGTGGTAGATGAATTGTCTGGAATGTCCAAAGGAAAAATAACAACAACCAAAGAGCTTGCAACAGATCAGCAAGGACACACCTTAGCAATTAAGGTTAAAAAACTCGCAGGCGTGCTTGGTGCTCTAAGTAAGGCGTAGCTGGCACTTCGGTTTTAGCTAGACTTCTGGGTAACCCTGAATATACAATAATCTTTGTACTTGGGTACTGAGTTACTGCTACTTAGCAGCCACCCTCGCCAGGACTTACCTAAACCATCATTTGAATTAAGTATGTGCACAAAAACTTCTAAAGAAACAAAATTCTAGGCCCAGTCTTCCACTAAAACTACCCTAAGTTACCATGCATGTGATTCCAACAGGCCAGGTCAGCCAAAACTGGCACAGTCCTCACCTACACAACAGCATTTCTCTGCACCCAGTAATATAAGGAAGAAGGGGGTACAGCTCAGGCTGTCCAACTCTGTTCTCCCTCTGAGATGGGTCCAAGGGCCTCACTCCTTGAACCCTTCCCTCCTCTAACCCTGTCTTCAAAACTCGCCAGTACCATTCCTAAGCTGGCTTGTAGTGATCACCTTGGAGCCACACACAAAGCTGGTGCCCTCTCCCCTGGGGTTGAGTGTAGTCTTTCCAGCTGGGGAATCCCGATCCACTCAGCTGGGATAGAAATTCTAGCTCAGTCCAATGCCCAGTGCCCTCTCAAGGTGACTCTGTGTGGAGTCACAGTGACATCTAGTGGCTAGTTTGGTTACAAGAAGTATTTGTTTAGGAATACCCCTCAGACTACATTCCAAGGAAAACATTCTTGGGGTCCTGACATAGGCATCAAGAAACTGTTTTACCTGGTGCACCTGAAGAATCCCACTTTCGATGACAGTCTCAAATTACGTAGCTCCTGCTGGGGTGCTGGTTGGGGGGCCATGGTGGTAGTCTTAATTATGCCAACAGGAGAAATGTACAGGATCTAAGTACAGCCTGTCTGGAAATCCTGACACCAGCCAGGGGTACGGTACAGGATTTTCCTACTTTCCTCAGCAGACAAGCTTACAAGATACACATCTAACCTGAAGGGGGAGGGGAAATCTGAGTGAAATTTCAGTCTTGTGCTCTATTGAGTTGCCTTTAGCTAGTGTACTCTACAACCAAGACAAAATATGACAGCAGATACAAACTAACGGCCATGCCAGATACTAATTATGACTTTGAAGATACAAACGGGTGTTTAAATAAATATTGATTTTTCAATTGAGAATTGTGTTCCTTACCGATCCAGTAACTAAAGAAACAAATAGACCTCAGGTGTCCTAAGAAAATTGCTGGGGAAGCGCTTTAAAAATCACTGCAATTAGTTTTGTACTTAAAAATGACTCAATCTTTTGCTGCTTATATACAACAGTTAGTTCTTGTGCTATAAATGTTATGATTCATTGCTTCATTTCTTTTTTCTTTTTGAAAAATACACGGAGACAAGAGGTGTTATGCTATTTTCTAATGAAGACACTACTCACGCTTAAATAGCCAGTATTTATCATCGTAACAAATTCAAACAGTAAAGTGCACCATTTACAGAGAGAACAGATGGTAAACCATTAGTGCAAGAATCCTGTGAAAATGTAACACACGATATTGTGGAAAAAAAACCCTGCACGCTACAGTATTTAAGCGTTGTTTCATTTTTGTATTAGTGTTAAAGTGTGAGCTGTTTTTTTGCTCCTTAAAACATCTTCATAAACCCACAGTTGTACATGTAAGTGCTTTTAGGGGACATTTCTAAAGTACAGTACTGGAATCACATGGCAGTGAATAGCAAAGCAAAGCACAGTCAGAGATATTACAATGGCATTATCTTCGACAAGGATCATTCAGTTTGGATTCTCTTAACAATAAGATTAGAGATGACTGGCTTATGGCAGCAGCATGTCTCACTTAACTGTATATAAAAAAGGGACGGGGTAAAATTTGATTACTTTGTCCTTTCAGAAGAAACTACTGAAGCTAAAAAGCCATTCCATTTGTTCAGGAAAGATAGGGCTTTGAACAAAAACATGATGTTATTAAAAAAAATCAATGGACACAATCTAGCTAGCTTGGTGCACTGTAGGGAAGATTCAAACAATCAGTTGCTCCTTATACGATAAAACACACTTAAAAAAAGAGAGAAACAATACTGGTCAGTATCCTTTTCAATGACAGAAATAGTGCATGCAGCTTCCTTTCTTCGTGGCCCAGTCTAAGGGTGTTGGGAAGGCGACATAGGTAACTGGGAAGGCTCCCACTTTTATAACCTGCTTAGAGATCCCTGTAATAAAGCAAAGGGAGAAAATTCTTCTTGCCCCTTGGGGAAAAAAATAAACCTCCAATACAAAAGCTGTCTTGGAGAAATATAAAAGTGTCCCACAAATATCCGAGTGGAAGAAACGTAATCCCCGAAAGAACACAGAGGCAAAACCAAGAGTACTTTCCATCTGTCAATGAGAGACATGCCTGGCCTGTCCCAAGGGTGGCGCCTCTCAGTTTGGTCTAAGCAGTGAAATTACAACAAATGGTGCTGAGCCACTTTAATCAAAGCCAGGGGTTACTAAGAGTTTTAGGGCCGGATCCTCAACTGGTTTAAAACATCGTAGCTGTGCTGCAGTCACAACGGAGTGACGCCGATTTACACTAGCTGAGGATCTACCCTTAATTGGGTTCAATGCATGTTTCCTTTTACGACTAGATTCACGTAGCCCTTTGGAAACAAACCACGTGAACTCTTTCCAAGGACCAATTCCCTTCGTAAGAGTTGATATGAGATGCAATACTGGGCAACAGGCACTGGTTTGCTTTAAAACAAGCTACAATATTACTGCCCTTCCCATCCACCTGGCTGTTTGCTCTCAGTTACTGAAAAGGCAGATTAAAAACGTAACCAACAATAAATCAAGCAAAGAAAGCTCCCTCTATGCAAACAAAACTCCAGAAAATTCTTGGAAAGTTCTGTAAAAATGATTTTTGGAAATGTCCCCTGCTTTTCACACTGACTCAAAACTAGTTGCATCTGATTGAAAAGAAAAAGAAAGAAAGAAACCAGAACAAAACAAAAACATTTTCCTGAAATAGAGCACATAAATTAATTATAAATATCTCTCTTAACTACAGGTTCTTAAAGAGCAAAACATCGTCTCTAACATTTACAGGTATGGAACACAGCAACCGCTTTCCAAAATTCCAGGAACAAACCTTGCAGCTCTAAGAAACACACATTTTACTCATTAATCCCTTGGAGGAGTGCAGCCCCGCACTACAGCACACAGCTTCCAAAGAGTAGGTGCAAACACAAAGGAAATGGCAAGGCAAGGCTGTGTGTTCAGAAGGACTTTACTAAAGTGACTCCTTGGACACTTTCTGGCTTGGAAACCTCCATGTCACGTTATGCAGCATGATCAAAAAAAAATCTAAGATTCCTTCCTCCATTGAGGGTTTCCTATTCAAATTTTCCTCGCAAGCAAAACGAAAACCCATTAAACTGTCCTGGTGAAAATGTGGTGATGTGTGTGAGATGCAATCATCTGCTGGAGGTGTGAAGAAAAGGTTGCGGTTAATTCTGCTTACAAAATGCACAAGAGGTTTCTAGCCAATTCCTTTGGCCGATTAAAATTCACAAAAGGGGCAGAGTTTGATTGCTCTCTAAATATTTTTAAAATGCCTCAGAGTAAATCAATACTGTGGCATTTGGAACGTAGCTGTCGAAGTAGCAAAGCATCTTATGGTCCCCACTCATTCCAACAGGCTACGGTATTAAAAACAACAAACAAATCCAATTCAGATGAAAATGCTATAAATCCAGCTCAAGCAGGTTGGTTATTATGCATAGCTACTTGTTATTAAAAGCAAATAAAGCCCCATTCGGTGCAGATAACGAGCTCTTTGTGGGCAAGAGACAAGTGGGAAGATGAAGACTCTGGTTGTCTAGAGGAATACCGGACAATGCAAATTTTGAAAAGGCTGCCAATTTTTAGCCAGCTTCCACTAGGAATTTTCATAAGCATTTTCATGAGAGCTCCTTAAAACCAAAGAAACCAATTAGATTTGAACATGAACTCTTGCAAAGAGCTGGTTACCTCCCACTGTATAGGGGGACCTATCTGGGTTAACCCACTCCATGTACTAACATATCCTTATTGACAGCTGAAACCTGGGAGGGAACTCAGTCTGAATTGGACAAACAATACTGGCTTGTTTGATGTTGGCTTCACCGTCAGCTGGGTACCAAAGGATTCTGAGCACGGGCATGGCTGTCTGATCACCACACAGAAATTACCGGAGAAACTTGCTCATGTAGCTACCAAATAGAAATAATAGTAATAATAAAAATATAGGTGGGAATCAAGCCTGGAAACGTGTGCTGAAAACATAAGGGTCTTACTCCAACAAGTGTCTTTTACACATTAGACTCCACAAACGGTCTCTTTGGTTTGATAGGGGATGTCTGCCCTTGTCTAGAGTCCCTGGAGAGCTGCCTGTACAGGTTGTCCTGGTAGGCCTGTGCAACGGGCAGTGTCCTAGCCACCTTAACATCTGGATATGAGGAGGCTTGGCTGACTCTCTCCAGGAGGTCTCCCCGGGACCCATTGGCTAGCATCCCATGGGGGCTGTAATAGTCTTCCTCTAGCAAATGGCCATTCTGTGCATTGTTGGTTTTGTTATAAAAGGCAATGTTGCTGATTGAAGAAGGTGGGCTAAACGATTCTGGCTGGGGGAGGTTTCCAGGAGATGTCGGACTAATAACAGTATCCACTGAAGACACAGCCCAGGTCCGGGTCTGTTGGTGGAGATGGGGGTACTGCTGAGTCCGAGCGGTTTTATCTATAATTCCCATGAACGGCGTGGTCCTGGAACGGGCTGGTTCACTGGGGTAACTCCCCTGAGGTGGAGAGACTGGAGAAAGTTCATCACATGATCTGTCATAGGCTGGCTTGAGAGGGATCTCCATTTGCTGAATAGAAGCAGAAGGGCGGAAGGTAGGAGTCAGGTTGGAGGTGGATGAGATGCTATTGCTAGAAGGGGAGAATCTGAGGCCAACACTTTGAGAATGAAGCAGCGGTCTTGGAGTTGGTGGGTGAGGTTTTATTTCGTTGGGGTTGATAGTAACGGGCCTTCTGATTAGGTGAGACACATCAGGAGAACCAAGCTGGCTGGAGGGAAGGGAAGAACGTTCCAGATCAAGCTTTGAATGACAGACCGGATAATAGGAAGCGGACTGACTGCGCCCAATCTGCGGGGTCTGACTGTATCTCATTCCACCCCTGTATGCTGAAGAAGGCCTCTGTGGAAGATCTTCTTTAGTTAGCCCTCCATGCTGGCAGATAGCTCCTGCGCTAAGGCTGGCTTGAACATGTTGCACTGGTCTACCATCACCCACTATTCCACTAATTGAACCTTGGTAGACCAACCTACTCTGACCAACTCCCATTTCCCCGGATGCAGACTGGTATTTGCTGGCCATAGAGTGGGCAACTTGGCTGTAAGCACCGGTTGGAATCACAGTACTAGAATGCACGGCAGAGCTCGGCTGGTTGCTTCTTACAATCTGTGCCTTGGCTGGCTGTAGCCTGTGCCCTTGCTGTGGGACTGCAACAGGAATCTGGGGAATCTGGAAGGACCTCTGTGTCATTTTGGATAATGGAGACTTTGGTCTACCAGGGAGTTGGTTAACACTAGGTTCTTGCTGGTAACGTACTGGGGAGCCAGACTGGGCCCTATAGACACTTATACTTTCTGCAGGAGGGCTGGCTCGATACTGAGGACCTCTACGGAGGGGTGAAGGTGGTGGACTTTGATATTCTTTCCCTTGACCTCCAACTGGAGGTGGACTGAAGCGGTAAGAGGAACCTTGGTGAGCAGGGGAAGTATGTGGCGGACTAGGTCTGTAATGATTGTTCTGATGTGTTGGAGACAGAGCAGGAGAGGTGGACTGATACCCTTGTCTTGTTGGTGAACCCACAGAACTATTGGATCTGAAGTCAAAAACTTGATGTGACCCAAGAGGTGAGCCCGAAATATAGGCTGAATCCCGGTGAGCGGGGGATGGGGGTGGGCTCTGGATGATGGGAAGCCCTTGACTGGGCCTCGACTCTGTCTGTAAGCCAATGGAAACATTTTCTACATCCTGCTCAAGATACTCCTCTTCAAAGAGATCTTGCACAGAGTACAGTTCTTCATGCTGGGCTTCAGCTTCCGGCTCCGCTGGGGGTTGCTGCTGCTGTTGCATCTGTCTACATTCTTCCTCCACTCTCATCAGCAGCCGCTGGATCTCACGATTGTTCGGACACAGCTTGATGGCCTCGTTCAGATCCTCCAGGGCTGCTGAAAACTGCCTGCTTGACAAGGGGACAGACATGAGAATTGAAGTTACTCTGGATTTGAATGAAGCCTTTTGGGGATTCTACTGAGCTTGAGCAGCTTGTCTTTACTTAGGGAGAGACTGTGATCTCTCCAGCGGCTTTCTCGAGCTCTGCCTTATGTGCCTCCATTTGGTTACTTTACACCAACCGAAGAAAAACATTGTTAGTCATTCTGGGGAGGAGGGAGACACATTGCTGGGACAGCGCAACCCAGCCCAGTAATTATCCTTTCACTCGGAGAGCGCTTTACATATTGATTACCCCTCAAAGCACCCCATAAGCTTTGTCAGCAGATTGTCCCCAGTTTACAGAAGGGGAAAATGAAGCACAAGACGTTGTGCCAAGCTCACCACTGGAGTGAGCAAGAGCAACTCTGTCCACTTCGACGGAGCTGCAGCTGCTCATGCCAGTGGCCCCTTTAGCTTCTTCTGACTTGCCCAAGGCCACATAATGGCAGGGGTGGCTCTAGAACTCCGGGGTTCCTGCAGCCAATGCTGCCTCTCGGACGTTGCTGGGTACTGGGTTTGTCTCCTCAGGATGAAGGGAACAAGGCAGGGAGAGGTCCCAACAGTCACAAGCTCGCAAGGCCCCCGTGGAAGATGCTCTTTGGGACTGACACTGTGAAGGCTAGTCTATGAGGAGTAAGGGGATGGGGTATTCAGGGGAGGTGGGTTGTCATTTACAGGGACACTGTTAGCTTTTGAACAAAATTGAATCTATTTGAACACGATTGTGATCTGGTGGTGAACAGCCTCCAGATTCAACATGTGACTTTGTATAAAATGCTCCCGTTCACTGCTCCATCATAGAGAAAGAAAAACCCCAAATGCCTCCCACCACTTTGGTAAGACCCACTCCAAACCAGGGGAGAGCAGGTAAGGTAACTGCATTCCCCAGACCTACGCTGATCTCAATGGTGATGCTGGCGCACAAACAAGGAAGGAACCAAAAAGAGCCATGCTGAGCCTGTTTCATTAGAGAGATGGGGAAACAATGCTGCCTGTATGTAGGAAAGGACCAAATTATCTGGAAAAGGCATTTGAGGGTTAAACGTCTGTAAATGTTTTGCAGCCAGTAGAGAAGGAAAACATTCAAGGAAAGCTACAAAATGTCAGTCTGGTTCAACTAGCCGGGCTTGTCTCTGGAAGAGAAGGTCATGGGTTTGCTCCCACATAAGACTTGAGCTCCCTGCAGTGATAGCTAGGGTAGACGCACAGTTAAAAGTGTTGTCTTTGGGATGAGAAGTTAAACTGCGGGGTCTTCTCCTCAGCTCTGATGTTTACACAAATGGACATTAAATATCCTCTGGCTAATGGTGAGGTTCTGCACTGCCATGCAGGCAAAAGTGGTGTCTCACTCCACTGACTGAGCAGAGATTAGCAGTCGTGCAGTGACAGTGTGCTCAGCCCCTGAGGGAGAGACTCAAAAGCAAACCCTCCTGCCACTCCAGGAATAGCATTGACAGGTTCTGCAGGGATCTCGTCTCCCTGGGCCTTCAGGGAGATTTAATGAGGGAATCCTCCTGGCTGCATCTGAAACGTAGCGAGATCTCACTATCACATTGTTCTAGTGCCCAGTAGGATGCATGAGCTATTGCTGAAAGCACACTGGCTGGCATTTGCCCACAAAGTCACTGCACTACTAGTAGCCAAAATTTTGCCTTGAAGAAGACCGCTTTAGAATGGACCGATTCATAGATTCCTAGGCCAGAAGGGACCATTGTGACCATCTCAGTGTCGTACCTCCTGCAGAACACAGGCCATAGCAATTCTATGAATGAATCCTTGCTTCCAGTCCAATAGCTGCGGGTGAACTAGAGTGTGTCTTTTAGAGAAGTCATTCAGTTGTGATTTGAAGCTGCCCAGTGATGTAAGGTGCTGAGAATATTCCAACAAACTCAACTACAACCAGCTTCTCAAAAGTTCACATGAACATGCTCCACAGGGATTACTAAATAAGGGAGGATGTTGGTTTTGGGGTCTTTTACAGCCGCCCTAGTCAATGTTCCTTTGCAATTTGTTCTTACGGGGATACTCATGTAGTTTTGCATGGTCAATTCCTACACCACTGTGCCCATACTTGCAGAGAACAGCCCCTCTCACTTCTCTCTCTCTCTCGCCTCACCTGCTGCTGCGTTTGGCCCTTGCTCTTGCATAGTAAGCTTCATAAGATTTCGGTTTCAGCTCCAGTGCTTTAGTGGCAAATTCCTCCGCCATTCCAAAATCCTGTCATTACAATAGGTGTGTAGATAAGTAATTGAATATATATATATATATATAAATAAAAATATATACAACTTGGGAACAAAACAAAATTATATGGACAAAGTTTTTGCATGTAGAGTTGGAAAACCTGATGGTACTTTTAACATGGATCAGACATCATTGATAGCAAGAGAGCTACAACGGTGTCCAGAAGAGGCAAACCCATTTCATAATGTTAGACACTGTACGGCACCCACACTAACCCAAGGTGAAAATTTCTCTCAGATTTGCTCCTTTCTCTACCTCTTGGATCCCAATAAGGGCATGCAGTCCCTGTGCAGTAACCTACATCCTACAGTGAACATCTGCTCTCAAAGAGACTAGAAGGTCATCTCAGGAAGGATTTTCCACTGTTGAAACCATTAGGAAACCCTTCCCCCCACCCCTCCACTCCCCCCGGTGACTGTGTCTGGCACACACACTAACACTAGGGATCGTGAATAACACTCCTCCGGGAGGAAAGGGATATCGGTGCCTATATAGCTATGTGCACCAATGAACAGGTACAACTGTAGGACCCGTTCGCAGTGCACTCTCTCTCACTTCCCTCTGTTCCTCCCCTTTAGGGACTACTTAGAAAACACTGACTTGGGGGTGAAGGGGAAGGTGGTGGAACATAATGCAGATTGGTTAAAATGCTAGTGTGTGGCATTGCCATGAATGGTACATTATCGGCTAAGGTATAACTCTTCCTGATTGCCCGTCCCTTGACCTTGTCTTCCCTAGTGCCCATGTGCCTCGCCACAGAGCTCATGTGAGCACTCAATAGGGTGCCCACTTGCCAGTTGGGTGGCTTTGGTACAGCACCCGCTTGCCCATCATGTCTAGCAATGGCTTTGAGCTGTAACAGTCAGCAGTTCTAGGATACGGTGTTTAATACAATTCCTTTTTGCTTAAAAAATAAGCAAGGCAAACTCCACTGGGCTACAAATGGAGTTTATCAGGGCACACTGGCTGCAGTCACTCATGAGTGTAACTTGGAAAAGCTTTTGGCATCTTATATACTGAAAAGGACTTCTGTGAACCACAGCTGTGTGCTACTTTACCAGTTAATACAACGTTCCCAGGCAAGTATGCACTGTCAATATGACTTTGATTTTGACTGTATTTGGCTCATGCAATACTAATCATAATGCACCAACCAGGTCATTTGTATCTTAAGAAAACCATGTCTTCAGAACAGAAACCCACGGAGTAAAGCTCGCTTAGTTTCAGTTCTATTTCCAGACACTTGCCTTTTATTCAAATATCTTTTCTGCTTGGTTTAAAATTGATTAACTGTTTCTTGAACATTTCAAGGCTTCTTATGAAATAAATTTCTGCACCCAAATACACAAAAAATGATAAGAGTGGGTCTACAGGGACTGATTTTAGTTTGCATTTGCAATTCCAGTCACTCAGCTATCGAAATCACTTTTCAGAGGATGCAATCTGTGGTTTAGATGTCCATGTGAGCTAAATTATGGGTGCAATGATATGCCCCTGCAATTTTGCACCAAAAAAAAAAAAAAGAAAAGGAAAAAAGAGGAAGTTTTAAGGCTTGGCTGAAAATTTGGCCCTGAAAGTGCAGGCTTAGCAGAAAGTTGGCTTGTTTAAAGGTGAGTTTAACATCTCTGTAGTGTTCTCTGATTGTTGTGTTGTTTGCTAGCCAGCATTAAGATCACTACACATGTCACTTTCATCTATCTCCTTCAACAGCTTAAAGAAATGAAGGCATCACAAAGTCCCCTCCCTTGCAATATAATCCTGGCCAGCACCTGGGTCTGATGAAGACTTTCACTTCTCAAATCTTTGGAGACTAGTCAGGTTGTGGAGATGTGATGCTCTCAGAATCCAGAGAAGGGGAGAGGTGGCATGTGTCTCTTTTGGAGGAACAGAGAGACTCCAGAAGATTATCCCTATGTGCAGCTAAATTAGAACAGGGGGAAGAACAGGGACATGGTGTTCTGGGAGGAGGGAGGGAGAGTGTTTCTGGATGAGTCATTGCCCTGGGGAAGTGAGAGCTCTCTAAGCTCCCTGATTTCAAATTCATTGGTATTCAAATGATCACATCTACTGACTCCACCCCTCACCACTGCCCTCGATATCAGAGAAATACTAACCTCTCCACCCTCAAATTCATATTGTCATCAGAAATGAGTAATAAAAAATTCAGAAAGCTCTAAACATGGAAATGAATTTTTAATCATTTGAAATGAGTATTAAATCACTACTTTACTTCTTCCGAATTATAAATACCAGTGCTCTGTGAAGGACAACCAGGTTACAAAGAGGAGAGATTTCAGAGGCCATAGCAGAACTGTGGGAGAGACACACTCTGTTATGCGCAGGCAGGAAGCTGGCAGCTTGCTCTAAAGGGACTTGAAGAGTGTGTGGAACTTACGTTCATTTTCCTTCGACATCGGGAGAGGTTGAGGAGGAGTGACACCTTCAGCTCACGGAAGGTTTTCAGGTCTTCTCCAAATCCTTCTCTGGGGAATTTCTTCAACGCATACTGGTAGCGCTGTGCAGCTTCCTTCACTTTACCTTTCTAATAGAAGGGTAAGATGTCAAAATACATCACTTGGTTGACTGAAGAGTGGCAGCAGCTTGTTAATTGCTGAAAAGTAGCCCATTAATCAGCTGCAGTGACTGTATGGGCCAGGTAACACTGCTTAGGTGCTGTTCTCCTTTTCAGAAAGAACAGCCAGAACATTTGATCAAGGGAACGGTTTCTAAACTGGAGATGCATTCTGCAAGAACTGCTCCCCCAGTTCATGCAGAGATCTCAAGCTACAGTAGAAAACAGAGCAGGAACTTCATAGCAACAAGAATCTATTTTATAGCTAGATTTGTTTGAGTTTGGCTGCCACTGCCCTGTCTACAGCAACAGTCTTGGGTGCGTTCCTCCAGTCCTGCAGCACAATACAGAAACATTAATGACACTGCTTTACAAAAACATTATGGACAGTTTCTTTAAAGATTCTCCTTCTTCACTGCTAGAAATTGGCTTTAGAGCAAACTTCTCATTGCCCTCCTTGGTCCTATCTTTTAGCTGGATGGCAATTGTATCTATTTCTGGATTTATTGGTATAAGCAAACAAATTCCCTCTTTTAAGAACTCCTTGGAACTGCTGGATTTGAGGCATATTTTGTAGGTAAAGTGCTGTGCTCCTTGTGGGAGATGCAGGGCCAGATTAACCCATCACTGGCCTCTAGGCAAACATACACCTCTGGGCTCTTACCTTCTAACACCAATAACAACAAACTGACTACATGACATTAATACCACAGTACGTTGACATAATTCCACTCAAACGGCAGGGGATGCAGAAATAAGTTAAGGTCCCCATAGTAATATTCGCTCACCCATACTGCACATAGGGCCAAGTCCTTAGCCCAACGCTCAGTCAGGCACATCTGGCGTACAGGGTTACGGCGTCTGCACCACTCAGGTTTGGGCTGGCCATCCCTCCGTCATGATGAAAGGACAGCTAGGCCAAACCCACGTGGCGCTGTGAACCCACATGTAGAGGAGGTCCATTCTGGTTCTCCCCCCCAAATTGGGCCCTAGGCACATGCCTAGTTCGCTTATGCATTAATCCATCCCTGGGGAAGTGATAAGTGCTTTAGAAATATCACAGAGAGATCAGATAGAATTCCTTCACCCACTACTGAAATGCAGCTACCTCTGGCATGTAACATGGCAGCACTATTACATAACTGTTGGGCAAGGGCACCTGAAGGTGGACACTTTCTAGATGTCATATACTGGTTACTGTAATTTCCAACACTGATGTAACGAACAGTTAATCTAATAACAAGCACCCTGATGAAGCGAAAGATTTTTTAGAGTAAATTCCATACGCTGGAGGGCTACAAGGTTGAAAGTTGTAGAAAATCAGACTGAACGTTGCCCTTTCTTCTCACATGGATGGAAAAGGGCACGGCATGTAAAAACAGTATCATTCTTCAAAAGGATCCGGTAAAATCTGTTCTATACTGGGTATGTTTCCCTCCCCATGTGATGTGCTGCCCTGCAAGCTATGCCAGGCACTCAGGCTGGAGTGAACAATTATGCGTAGTGACCTCTCCCTGGGCAAATGGCAGTATTGAAAGCTGCTCTATGGCTTGACTGTGCAGGGGACATCCATGTGAGGAGAACCTGGAGACGCTTACTATGTGACCTCATGGAAATGAGGCACAGTCAAAGAGGGTGCCCTTTGAGCGTGTTGGCTCACAGGTGATTCAGGCGCATTTCTTCTTGTTCCAGACAAGACTGTGACATCTGGGCCTTTGCCGTGCATTGGAGGTGGGGCGGAGCTGCTCTGCCTCAGGAGCAGCACTGGAGATGCTGTGTCTCTGGCAGGTCCAATGTCTTCTGGGCTGCTCCGTGTGCAACTGGGGAGCAATTTGTTTCACCCATTAGAAGGGAGCAGCTTGCTCCTATCGGCCAGTGTATGAGGGGGACAAAGCCATGATCCCACCTCTTTCCCAACTGCTTTTAGGCACCCTGACTTTCTTGAGGAGGAACAAGTAGTCTTCGCATTCCCTACAGACTGAGCAGCCCAAGGATTGCTACGGTGGGAGGCCCATGAACAGACATGTATGGGAAGAGGGATGCATGCCCCTTTCTTTCACCCTGAGCTAGTCCCTCTGGGCAAGCAGGGACTGTGTGTGACATAGAAGCAGACATTCAATCCCTATGAATGAGTGTTCTGTGTTGCTCAGCAGAAGCCTAAAGATTAATGAGATCCACTGGCAGACCTCCTCAGCTTGAAGGATGGTAGCTATTGCCTTTGTTCCGGATGGAGGATTTGAGTCTGGTGGAATCCTTAGGGCTTAGACATGGGAGTGAAGGGGAGGCCTCTCTGAGGGGGAGGATAAACCTGGTCGTATTATTGTATCTTAGATATTTTTTTTTTAAATGCACAAATTTGACACATGGGCAGCAATGGGGGAATAAAAAGAGGGAGGGGAAAAACGGGAATTAGGACACATGCAATTCATGATTATCCAGACATTAATTTTGCAGCTGCAAATATTAAGCTTTAAAATCCCTGAGACTCAAGTTCCTCAGTTGTGTCATATATCCCTGGCAGATGAGTTCAGTTATGGTGCCAGCTTTGCATATTTTCTACTTCACTCTCAGACTCACTCTGAATCATCGTTGGACTTACAGCTTCTTGTGTGTGTGTGCGAATCTCCAGGCATGGAAGACCAGCTACAAATAAATGCAGAGCAAAGGGCCTCTATTACTGTCATTGTGAAATGTCACCCTAATGGTAATGACAGGCTAAAAAAACCATGTCCTGAGAATTTGCTTTCATTACATGGACATTTTTTCCTGTGACACTCGTATTGTGTTTTCTCCTTGTTGTATAGGAATGACTCTGCTACATAACAATGACACTGCCAAGCTACATCATCAGTGCTATAAAATCCCTGTAAAACGCTTTGGTTCTGGAGTTTTCAAGGAGGAAAACCAGTGAAGTCTCACCTCGCATCCTAACCATGCAGATGTATTTTGCTTTGTTTCAGCCCTGTTTAAATTTAGCAATCAGAAGGTAAAACTCCTCTGCACTGCAAGAAACGCAGTAAGTGTTGTTTTACTTATAGAAATGTGGCTCTCTCTTGGCTTGGATTAAGGGGGCAAGTGTCGCCGAGCAAACGGACACCTGGAGAACAAGACATCACACCAAGTAACTCCGTAGCCCTCTCACTGTCATCCCTTGGAAAAATCTCTGCTCTCCCTCTCACCTTATAGAACATGTCCCCCTCCTCCATCAGCTTGCTCAAGAGGATGATCATGATGTCTGGTTTGGAGGTGGCCATCGCCCAGGTTGCTGGACCTGTAGTGTACAGGATGCATGATGGGTAAAAAACTCATACAATGCAAGGGTGGTAGGAAGCTAGGTGGAAAAAATATCCTGGGGTGGGAATTTCTGCTGGAGAGAACAACTTGGCATGGTCAAGGAGCAGACTGCTTCAAATTAAAGAGCTGGCCGTTCATCTTGCATTTCTTAAATGAACACCATCTTCGACACAATGTCTTTCCTTTGTATTCGTTTAAAAAAAGAACCAGGTCTTTCAATGATCACAAGAGGGCAGCACATGTTGTAGAACAAGCTTTGGGGGAAATGGTTTGGTTTAAAAAAATGTTTAAAGAGGAAATCAAAGTGATTACATAAAAAAGCATGTTACATAAATATATATAAATTTAACAGAGCTAATCAATAATTCAGCCACCTAGATATTAGGCCTAGGTTTTGATTTGAAACTTCATATGATGTGAAATACTAAAATGGAAAATTCAGTAAGCTGGAGAATATAACAACAAAATCTTTTAGGCAGAGCCCGCGCTGCAGCAGGTTATTCTAAGGTCTTGTTCCCACAATTGACTCCCCACAGGCAGAGATCTGCACCAATGCAGGGTCTCACTGACTTCAGTGAGTGCAGGCATCCACCCATACGGAGTCAACTGAGGTCTAATACAGTGAGAGAGCAGCAGTAAAAATTTTAGCAGAGTTCATTAGTCTGGGTGAAGAATGAGTCAACCATATTTTAAAAGGGGATCCAATGTGTTTTTCAGGGTTAGTTTTTGAGTTCAAGTTATTCTCTGCAACAGTCATAAACAAAATATTTTAAGGTGAGGGAAATTAAAAGATTAGGGGTAGAGGGGAATGCATGCAGGCTAAATCAAACAGAAGAAGGCAAAGCTGACAAAGTCATCAGATCAAGCCTGATGCTGACAGCGATGAAATATACCTCGAGGGCGACTCGGTAACGTCTGACAACCTTCAAAGAAAGGAGAAAACAAAAGTTGTAGGAGGGGGGGGAAATGGATGAAGGTGAAAAAAAACAAAAACAAAGAAAGGAAAAAGCAGCAGTGAGAGGCAGGCAGCAAAGAAGCCAATGCACCAGCAAAATCCCCTCCAAGGGCAAGGTAACGGGAGTGGCTGTGTGGAGCAGCGCAGTTAACGCTAGGATCTGAAAGCATATACAGAGCATGTGAAAGCAGCAGCTCACAGCAATGCATGAACAGAGTACTGTTGATAGACCGGGACTAGTAAAGGTAGAAAAGCATTACCATAGGAAAGGCCTCGCCAAAGAAACCGCTGCTTATTGGTTACGTTTGCTAAGTAGTACGGCAGCAAAAATCACAGTTTAACAAACAGAACATGACAGTAAGAACTCTCGTGCTGCACTCTGGGTAGGAAACAGCAGCTCCCCTTTAACATTCACACAAATGTTACATTTACACTGCAGAAAGCAGACCCTCTCCCCAGACGTCTTGCTTTAGTAAACAGCTCAAAGAGGGGTTCCCCCTTAGCCCTACCTATCTTTGCTCCTTTTTTCAGAAGAGTGACCACGACGGAAGTGTTGCGGCACCCCACGGCCCTGTCGAGTGGGCGCATCCCGCTGTAGTCAACATGCTCAATCATGGCACCATGGTCCACCAGAAACTGAACCTGGAATGATGAATGCCAAAGTCACCACTGCCCTATGCAAGACCAACCGGGCATAATTCCATGCCACGTGTATGGAGCTCCTGGGACTTATCCTGGGCCCATCACTACAATATCTGAGATAAAGTTACTCTTGCGTTGCTCTAGTCTGCAGGTCTGGGTGCTACGTGAATGCAGGCAACGTGCTCATGATTAACAATAACATGGGTGAGACATTTGAGCACTAATATTTTATGGTATTTCAGCTGATTGCTTCCTTGTTCTGCAATTATTAACATGGCACTTACCACCTCTGCATCACCATAGAAAGCTGCCAGGTCCAGGGGAGTGCGTCCATTCTTGTCAGCGTGGTCTGTGGCAGCTCCATTCTCCACCAGGGAACGCACCACAGAAAGATGGCCCTTCAGACAGGCCCAGCTAAGGGCAGTCAGTCCTTCTTTGTCCATTAGCGAAATGGACCCACCTGAAAGAGCAAGTGCAAGTCCACGTAGGAGCTCTCTCTTGTACAGGGCTTGGTACTATTCAACAACAACAGTAATCACACTTAGCACTGCTACACAGTAGCACTTTCTATTTGCAGAGCGATGTACAAGTGTTAACTACTTTCCCAGGGTTCCCAGTCTGACTATCCCTGTTTTTATGATGGAGCCGTTAATTGACTTGCTCAAGGCCACATAAACAGTCAGTTACAGAGTCAGGATAAGGACTCAGGAGAGTTCTTCCTTTAATCACTGGACTATGATGATCAATCCATCAACCTGGCTTTCTGTTGCTTTATGTTCCTGTAAGTATAATTAAAGGGAAACCTAATGGCATTATTAAAGAAATGAACAACATCAAACTTCTTGAGATCCCAAGTCATTATGGACCAAATCCTGAGCAGCTGGGCTGGGCACTGGGCAGGTGTGTGCATGGAAGAGATGGGAGTGAATCAGCTCCCCGAGGATGCAGAGCAGCTAGAAGCTGCTTCAGCACCACAGTTCCCGTAGCCACTGCAGCTCTCATGCCATCTCTGCAGCAGTTCTGCTACCAGGGCCCCGGCTATGTCTCGAAGAGAATGTGGCGCTAACCTCAAAAACCTGCGTATAAACAGCTTCTAAAACAACATACAGGACAATCAGATCCTGTTCTACTGACTTGGCAAGGCCTGAGCTCAGGGGTTTTGGGTTTCCACAGCTGCAGGAGATAACAATACTAATAAGTGACGCAGAATTCAGGGAATGCAGCTACCTGCTCTCTCACCAGGTGCTGCAGGGAGGTAATGAACCCTGAAATCATCATCTAAAGGTGAGCGAAAAGCCAGACTCTAATATGAGACGAACACTACCTGAGCATCAGCAGTGCTGCACACGCAGTGTTGGACAGTCCCTGCCTCAAAGAAGTTCAAAATCTAAATCAGTCAGAGGATTAATGGTACCTTGAGGTTGGATAAACACTTGGGAAACCGCTTTGTTTTTAAAGCGGAAGACAGCTCCTGCTCCACTGTAATATTACAGTGATTTGGGGCTAGACTCGCCAAGCATTTACAGCAGCTTGAACCCTAGTGGAAGGCCATGGCAACTGAAATCTACCAGAGAGGAGACTGCGACTAACTGGAGTTGGTTCACACCAAAATGCACTTTGTCCCCACTTAGATCTGTAGGCTTTTCTGCCAAACTCCTTATGAATAGCTAGTTGGATTTGAGATCCCTCCCCACAGACATCAAGAAGCACACTCTTCTCTGTCAGGAACCCTGCCGATATGGATAGAGTCTGGAAAGAGATGCAAAGGCATCCTGGAGTAATCAGTCGTAATGGCTCTGTCTACACAGGACAAAAAGGTGCTTTTTCAGATGAGTTAGCTTAATTTTATCAACCCCACCTCTCACCCTCCACAGCACTCCTGTAATCACAGTTTAAACATCTTTGAGATCAGTTGAGCTGGTGGTGTTGTAGTTATCAAGTTACATTAACTCAACTGAGCTAACTTGATGGGATCCCTTGTGGGATCAGACACTGTCGACTGAGAGCCAACAGGAGAGGGACCCAAAGTTTTCTTGGACAGTCGGGAGCTACTGAAGGATCATCCAACTTCTGTCTCTCATGATCTAGGTCAGAATCTTTGGCATGAGGGAGGGACATGAGAGAACATAAATAACTAGAGTATGTGAACACTGCTCTTCACGGAAAGGGAAGGGTTCTGTTGCTAGAACAATGGCAATGTTTTCATTCCAAAGTGTGATGAAGGGACCTAAATCAGCTGCATCCCTCTGAAGAAAGTGCTTTTCCACCACCCACAATCATGACTCTATTACCAACAGGTTGAAACACTGTGGTATTGAGGTCTTCTTCTCCACTAGGTAAAATGACAATCTCCTGCAAATTCTATCACATCCACTGGGGGTTCTTGACTGGTTCCAAATGCAAAGGGATGACTTACAGCCATCCTCTCAGCAAAAGCAGGGGAGCCAGAAGAATGTATTTTCCAATCCTCTTCATCCATCTAGGTCAATGTATTCACTGGATAGACCACAAACCCATTTAGATTATCCAGACAACATACCTCGGATATCCGCAGCCTTATTCCTTGCATGTTGGCTTCAAATTTCCCTTTGGAGAGGAGCAAGAGCCTAACATGCTGACACAGGCAAGTTCACTTGGGATACAACAAGAAAGTCTCCACTGAGAGCTCTAAACACATTCATGGCGCCATGCTTGGGCACAACCTCCAAATTGGAGTGTAGAATGCCAAAAGGATGTGTGGCAACCTCACGGGACAACAGAACCAGATGTCTCATTCAGAAACAGATGGTACATTGGTTCACCAAGAGGCATATACCAAACATAGCTTGGATATACACATGTAAGCCCAGTTTTAAGTACCACCAATAGCAGCTCCTCTTAATCTGACAACCTTCTCCTATACTGTCCCTCACTCTGTCCTGAACAGCTTTTAAAGCTGCATGAAAGGGTCAGCTAGCCTGTAGTCAGCCAATCAGAGAGCAGCATGCTCATGAAAGTGGTTACAGAGGCATTCTCTTTTCCTAGCTGCACTCTGGGGATCAAGCAGCCAAAGGTTTCTGCTCTATTTTCTTCCAGAATCTTCCTGCATAGGTAAGTACAACTCCCATGAGAATTGGGAAAGGCTAGAAGCCACAACAACCACCAGCCTTTTTAATCCTTTCCAGAGATCAGGACATGCCCTATTCTAGGGTGACACATGAAGACCCCAGGGTATTGATGCACCAGTGCAGCTTTAAGTGCACAACTCAGACTGCTTCAAGGATGTCAAAATGCTGCTCCTAGGCCTATCATGCCTGACCGCTACACAAGTGCTAAATCCATGAGGCAGTCATTGCTCTCAGTAGGATCTACATTGGACTCTGCTCACCGTGAGGAGTGACTTTCCTTAAGGTCCTTCAGACCCACTTAGCACTGGGGGAAGCCAAACATGACACAAGCCACTAGCCCTCAACTCTGTCAGGTTAGGGTGACACCCTGGAACTGCTCCCCTATGTAGGTGAGTTGTGATTACTGCTGTGGCAGGAAAGGCCCTTTGTGTGAGTGCATCCAGAGCATGTAAAACTGCAGGGCTGCTTCTCCTTGTCCAAAAATGAATCAGGCTAAAAACAAGATTCAAAGTGTGACCCAGTCAACAATCAAACAGTAAAAGATTTACCTGACAAAGAGACACAGACAAGAGAAAAAGGGATTGCATCAAACGCACGAGTGATGCACTGAAGCCTCAACAAACTAGAGAACCTTTTACATTTATATTTGAAAATAAGTCAGTGAATGAGATTGTAAGAGGGGCTCCACTTCAATTCTCAGTCAAAAGGGCCAAGGATCTGCTCTAGGATCACCACGCCTGGCAGAGTGACACGCAGCAACAGATGATGGACGGTGCAGATTGCATCTGTACAGAGAAAGGAACCCAAGGGCAGCTACAGATCAAAATGCCCAGGTAGGTGTGTGCCTCCGCTGGGGAAGGAGTGGTGGGTGATTTCAATAGCTTAGGACTCAGTGCTATGAAACAGAGGCACACAATCTAGAGAGGGTGGAACAAATACGACTTGGACCCTTGGAAAAGCAAATATATTTTCAGTTGTTATGAGGGATAGATTTTTGCAAACTGCTTTTAAACTAGTCCCTCCCGATGTGTGGTATAAGAGCTGTCTCCGCATTGTCAGACAGAGAGATCATGCCATTGCCTGGTTTACAAGTTAAATTGGAACGCACAACCTCTCCACACTAATCCAAGCTGTCGTTTACCAAGTGAACTCAAAGTCCTTGCCTCTGTAATCTTGGCACCACTGGAACATATGGATCTAAGCCAAGATTTTTCACAGCTGGGTCTGCCAGCACTTCAGAACTGAGGGATTGAGGGAGAAAGTTTATTCTGTTGGCTGGTAACTGTCCACACCATCCTGAAACTTCACTGCTCCCCAGAAGAGATGGGAAAGCGAAAGCAAAAGATACATTGATGATCCAGTGTCTGGACCAGGAAGACAAAATATTTAGAGCTCTCTTGTGCCTGTTGAGTCTGTTTAAACAGCTGTTTTGTATATAAAGAAAGCTTCTTCACTTCCATGCTAAAGGTCCTTCACTTTACTGATGTTGGAAAGCAGAGCTTGCCAGTAGTATAGGAATATTTCGGAAGGATGATGGATATCACCACCTGATTCACTTAAAACAAACATCTGCTGATGTTGTGATACACCCAAAACCATCCCAAACCACTGACCTCTTCCTTCCCTCCCGCTGTCTTTTGCACCAAGTAGTATAAGATTGGTGACTGTATGAGGCAAGATGCGCTGTGTCTGCTGAAAAGCATAATCAATATCCAATGTTTCAGATATAATCCAAAACCGAAGAGATCTCAAAATTCATGTAGAGTTCTCATGCCTCTGTGTACTGCAATTCCAGCTCAACATATGACAGAATTCCATCCAGCTGCAGCCCGAAAATGTCCATGTAATGTCCACATGCCCAGCAATTCTGGATACTACCAAGAACAGCAGGTAATTCTGCAAATGTGAATTTCAAATTGATTGATGACAGTAACTCTGTTAATAAAACGTGTTTACAAATGCTGCCTCTGCTAATCAAGTACAGTTAAATAAGATTTGTGTTGCAACTTACTAATTAACACTTATGGTTTCTGATTCACACTTTGATTTTAATGAAACGCCGAACAGGATTTCAAAGCCATTGTAATTAAAATGCATCATCTAGTGCTATATTCTACCTGAGCTTGGTTTAAGTTTTCAGCTGTATGTTTTATGCTAGTGGATGCTAATTAAGCTATTGTATTGCAGAGCATCTCTTATGAAAGGTGATTTTCATATTCTTGACCTCTCTACCCCTCTAGGGTCATGAAGCTCAGAGGGAGATTACACATGAACCGGACTTTTCTGACTTTTTTATATCCAGGACCAGATTAGCTGATTCTGCTCTTTCATGTTTGCTCTGCTACGTAAAGTTTTCCATCCAGTGGAAAGTTTTCCATCCATTCACCCAGGTTTAAAGAGTGCGCATCTCTCTCATGTCTGTTAAATAATACTCATTTTAAGATAGATGGAGAGATGCAAAGGTCAGAATTTTAATAGGGGCAAAAAGAATAAGGATGATTAATGAGAACAATCTCAAGAGCGGGCCCATCTCGCTCTACAAGTCACAGCACTAAACAGTGGGGATCGCTGGGGCATATACTCCCAGAATGGCCAGGGTGAGCAATGGGAATAATATTTTAAATAGCTACGTAAATAATTCTATGTAAGAGTCTTACAATTAATATTTTAGCCAGCAAGAATACTAGATAGACACAGCTACTTATGACAATAAGGAAAATATCCCTCCCCACAGTGGTTTGAGTTTAGGGAGCATATCTGAAAAGAAAAAATATGAGGACAAACTGGAGCAAAATATTAAAAGAAAGAGAAGCTTCTGGGGCCTTTCCCCGCTGCCTCCCCTCTGCCGTGTGTAGCTACACACCACGAGTGGGGACGCAGCCTGCCTTTCACTATGGCATACGGCTATGCCCCCACCCTAGACAGCACCGCAAGGACAGGAAAGCGTAGACAAGGTTTAATTACAAGTGTTAAACTGTGTCCCAAACTGTGTTCAATACTGTTTCATAAGCCACGATTGAGTCTTGGGATTTGGTCTTGTTGATGCATGCATTTAAATGGTTTCCATCATGACGCTCGTTATCTCCAAGAAGTATGTTTCCTAGTTTTGATGTGGTTTTTGGATTATATCCGAAACATTGGATATAGATTATGCTTTTGATGTGTCACTGCAACAGATATGGCAATTTCTTGCAATATCATTGAAAACCCTTATTGAATTAAGTTTAAGTATCTTTGGGGTCCATTGTATTAAATGCAAAGTTTATGTATTATTGTGGACTGGGGTTGTATGTAACATCTCTAGGCGGGAGATGTGATGTGAGGCCTGGGAGTTCAGAGGACTATATTGCAAATGTGCCAAAAAAGAATGGAATTTTAGGACAACAAGTGCTAAGTGGATTTCTTGGGGAATACCCTAGGGAGAGCCTAATGCAAATTCTCCACCTCTGGTTATGCAAAAACCCTATCTTTTGAAGCTACGCCCTGAGGAGAGGGTATTTGTCTGCTGATAACCTATTCCCAGAGACTAGACATCAAAAGCCCAAACTGTGTAAAGAAACCAGCTGGTGGTTCTGATTCTGAGGTGAGACAGATATGAACTTGTTACCATGGGGAAAACCCAGTTGTGAGTTTTGAAGGACTGATACCTGCGAGAGCTCTAGGCTGGAGCTGGGATGACCTCTGGTTATCTTTTTAGCACGCATGTGGTTCTTTTATTGTTTTTAATACATTTTCTCTGTAAAACTTGATGGCTGAAGCTTTCACCATGTGTTATTCAATAAGGCTCTCAAATGAGCACATGGCATTGAGGCGATACACACCCAAGACAGAAAACAAATGAACAGCCAAGACTAAGGCCATGACTATTTCAGTCCTATTTCCCTAAAATTACAAATCATGGCTTCCAACAATGAAGATCCACTGGTGGTAGCAACTCTGGGAGCCTTAGTGTAGACCAAGTGCCAGCAGCCACCAGTGTCACCTAGCCTTGCCTTCAGCAGGGTTAGATGACATGGTGGGTAAAATTCCAGCACCCGATCTGCATTGTATAAGTAGGGGCATAGCGAGCAGATCGAGGGACGTGATCGTTCCCCTCTATTCAACATTGGTGAGGCCTCATCTGGAGTACTGTGTCCAGTTTTGGGCCCCACACTTCAAGAAGGATGTGGATAAATTGGAGAGAGTCCAGCGAAGGGCAACAAAAATGATTAGGGGTCTGGAACACATGACTTATGAGGAGAGGCTGAGGGAGCTGGGATTGTTTAGCCTGCAGAAGAGAAGAATGAGGTGGGATTTGATAGCTGCTTTCAACTACCTGAAAGGGGGTTCCAAAGAGGATGGCTCTAGACTGTTCTCAATGGTAGCAGATGACAGAACGAGGAGTAATGGTCTCAAGCTGCAGTGGGGGAGGTTTAGATTGGATATTAGGAAAAACTTTTTCACTAAGAGGGTGGTGAAACACTGGAATGCATTACCTAGGGAGGTGGTAGAATCTCCTTCCTTAGAGGTTTTTAAGGTCAGGCTTGACAAAGCCCTGGCTGGGATGATTTAACTGGGAATTGGTCCTGCTTCAAGCAGGGGGTTGGACTAGATGACCTTCTGGGGTCCCTTCCAACCCTTATATTCTATGATTCTATGATTAGCTCTCCAACCATTGCAACCAAAGGGTGTGTGTATGTGAACTGTTGGTAACAACAAGGAAGAATTTTAGGAACAACAGTCCAGTGCAGAAACCCTCCAATTAAATTTGGCAGGACAATATTGTCAAACCCGGAAGCATGCTGTTTGATGTAAGAATAGCGTCACTCTAGAATAGCATGCATCCGACAAAGTGGGGATTCACCCACGAAAGCTCATGCTCCAATATACCTGTTAGTCTATAAGGTCCCACAGGACTCTTTGCCGCTTTTACAGATCCCGACTAACATGGCTACCCTTCTGATTCTAGAATCGCTGCAATAGCTCATGCTTTTTTATTTTTAAATTTGAGTTTCAATGTTTTCAACGTATGCATTCCACAAGGTAGGAGGAGGAAACTGTTCAAGGTGCTGAGGGGCCTTGAGACTACCAAATAATGTAATGCACTTACATGCGATCTAACCTTCACCACCAGACAACAGACTGTCAGTGTCCCAGTGATGTCAGTGATTTGATCTTTTGGTTTACCCTGGCCTGTCTCAAACACCAGAGCCTAGTGCTGGGCTCCAACGAAGATCTAACCTTGTGCAAGTAAGAATTCCACGGTGCCTAGATGTCCCTCAGAAGCAGCCATCATCAAAGGAGTCCGACCCTGCTTATCTGCCATGTTTACATCAGCGCCATGGGTGAGTAAGAGCTCTACAATCTGAAACACATAAAACAAGGATACAATTTATACAAAGAGGTTCTGCTGGGATGAAATGAGAGCTGAGATACAGCATAGGAGTCCACCTGCCTTGAAACCTCACCCAAACCTCAGACACAGAGAAAGAAATTACTTCTTTATCTGTATTTTTTCTCCCTGCTAACTGCAGACTTTGGAGTGCCTGACACCTAACCTGTTGCCCAGGCTTTATCTGCCACTGTGTTTTAAAGTGAGGTGTGGCTGGGGGTTGTAGTGGATTAGTTCATGTAGAAAATATTATTGTTCTTAATCTAAACGAACTAAAGTGTACCAAAATAGCATGGTCCTGGCTGCATTACAAAGGCTGTAATAATAATAACCACAATAATCCTAATGATAATAGCTAAATTTACACCAGCACTTTCTATCTTTTAGATAGTTAATAGAGAATGCACCAGGACAGCCACTGGTTCTTTTAAGACAGCCATTAATTCTAACTCAGGTTACATTTCAAGGCTTAAAGCCTTTTCTATTTAACCACAATAATAAGAGTATCGTATTTAGGAGAAACCACTCACATAGCACTAGAAGTAAAGACCTACATCTTCTAAAATGACTGGTGATTTTGTGATGCCCGAACTAAGACACCTTAAAGGGGCTTCATTTTATACGCCCTCTCCAAATGAAACATTGTGGAACATTTAGGCCAAAGCATTTAGCTGGGCATGTCAGAAGCCTGATGGCTGAACATTTCCTCTGTGGAATACTAGTATAAGGGATTATCTCAATGCATAACTCTATAATTACCAAAGACACGCACACCTGCCACCCTAGTCAAATGAGAAATAACTTTTGGAGGATGCTGCAGTGACCTCATTTACCTGCCAGTGGCCTTGTCTCACTGCACTGAACAACGGCACCACTCCACGTCGATTTGGCTGGGCCACCGCTGCTCCTTGCTCTAGAAGCAGACGACATACTTCCAGCTTGCCCCGTCCTGCAGCAGCTGTCAGAGCTAAAAGGGGGAAGAGGGGAGAGAGAGAGGTCTTTTAGAACTGCGTATTTCCAGCAGTAAGAAAACGGTCTGCTTTTCTACTTTCAGTGATCAGAAAATAAAATGTGCTTTATGTTAAACAGATTTTCTTTCAATTTCACCAAGCAAAAGGAGCGGCTCAGCTGGCTTGTACTTGAGCATTACAGTGAACTAAATAATACTAATAAAAAAATTCGAGTGAAAACAAAAAAAAAAACAGTAATAAAAAAGCCTAGTTCACCCCAAAAATTGATACCAGAGAAAGAAAGCCTGTTCTGCTCTTTCATGGCAATTTGTGAGTAGCTTTCACTAGGGCTGTAATTTCTGCAAGTAATTTCAAATCTCTCTTCCCTCCAAACATCTGCATTCCCTCCACCCATTTCCCCCTGCTTTACCAGCCCTTCTTTAAAGTCTCACGACTGGCAGAGCTGAGAACAGTCCTGCCAGGATGACCCTGAAGGTTACAGTTCTTATATTCAGGGCCTAGATACTACCCTCATAGGTAGGATTAAAAAAGACAAAGAATGCATAGATAGAGACTATGATATTTTGCTAGTTGTAATTTTCACTATTCACTTATATTTTATTGTCAAAGGTCAGTCCTTTCTGTAAAGAGACTTCATAAGATCCTGGAAAAAGAGTACTGTACGACAAACACCTTTTTCCTTTCCCCCAAGTTGCAATAGACCAGGAAAACCACCCCCAGCTATGATAATCACCAAATAATCTACTGGTATATTTAACTATGAAGTTCAAGGCAGTGTAATTTGAAACTTTAAACATTTCCCCTTGTGCCTCCTGCAGCAGAGAGCTTCTCTGCTGCACAGTACAGCATACAATCCAGGGATTCTACAACCCAGTACATCATTGCTTGGGTATGATTTCAATAGAACACATAAACTTCTGGGTACATGCTTTCTTCACAAACACTTTAAAGCCCTTCCACAAAATGTAAGTTGTATTTGTCTGGTTTCACTAGGGAACCTGACTATGTGGGTTTCTTGAAGGAAGGCAGAGAGAGAGATGGAGTTATTGTAAAATTATTGCCAGCCAGCTGGAAGTTAGTAGAGTTTGTGGTTTTCTTTTTCAGAACTAGTGCAGAGCCGTGCTATCCAAATGGAAGATTTTTTTTTTTTACTATCCCATTTTAGCGTGTAAGATTTTGAAATCCCATCAGGGAAACAACTGGAACACAATGCATATCATCAAGCATTCTTCAATTTAAATGGTAATTCTGCCCTTTGTTTCTGGGCCAGGACAGATCCCACCTGCAAATGCCTTTTCATGCAAAACCAAAATGATCTTTAATTTTCAATATTTCAAGTGCCCTGGTAACATGAAAGTTCCCCTCCCTGGCAAAACGTGCATTGTAAACTCTGACAACATGGCTGGGTTAGAAAAGATACATTGAATCTGAAAATAGATTTAAGTGTAGGACGTGTCTTTTACTTGTCTTCAGTATTAATTTTAGACTTTTCAGCTCCTCCCTCTCCTCCTCAACTTCATGTGTATTTCAGCACAGCTCCTCTGCCTCAGTGTTTTGCTCCTTTTAGTAGGAGTCTGAGCAGAAGGTGGGAGTCTATTTCTAACTGATGGAGCATGTCTCTTCTTCTTTGAAGTTCATTTCTGTGGGATGGCTGATTTAGAGGTGTTGATGGGCTCCAGCGGCAACCCTGTTAATTGTGGGTGATATATTCAACTTCTCTCTGTTCCAAATTGTAGTTTATTTTTTTCTCTTGGGTTTGGGGGACATCAAGAGTTAAAAAAGAAAAACCTCTAAATGCTACAAACAGAAGTGACTATGAAACCCATAATCATATCCATGTGGCTTTGAATGTAAGCTACAAAAGTAGAAGACAGGGACTATGTCTAGTGGTCACAGACAAGGGAGGAATCAAGGCTTCTGGGTTCTGGTCTTGGGCTTTGCCATTGATTCACTGTGTGATGTCTCTAACACAAAATATTGTCAACTATGTAATGTGCATTTATTTTACATTCCTAGTGGGCTCAATAACAATCTATTTTTAAATGCAATTGCGCTGTTTGTAAGGAAAAAGGCAACTTCTCTACTGGGAAAAAGAACCACCTTTCTAATGTGCTTTCAGTCTCCTGTCTTGTACAATCATCTCTTTCATACTCAGAGCAGGACGACACATTTTGATGCATTTATCACCGTTGTATTTGCACCTCCATCTCTGACTGTATTATTACTGGTGACACAGACACTTTCTGCTGGCTTCTGATATTAGTCTTGTATCAGGGCTAAATATTCCATCTGGAACTGACTTTATTGTGCTGTCAGCAGTTCCTCGGTTATCATGTAACTTGGCACTGCAATTCGGTTGACAGTAGGATGATATCATTAAGCCAGGCAGTCACTTTTACTCCAGACAAGATCAGAGAGACAAGCAACAGGTATCAAAACAGAACAGGAACCAATACGGATTTTCAAAGTTGATTAGCATTTTTAGCTTGAGACATTTCATTGCTGCATTTCTCTTTATTTTTATCGAGAATTGTTAAGTACTTTTTGGAAAATAAAACCAAAACAAAGTAAAATGGAGTCTCGTGAGCCACAGGACGCTCACATTACCTATGCAATATGTGTAAAAACTAGAGACTGAGATTTTGACAATTTCCAATATTCCTGGCTGCTCATTTTACCATCTTTCACAAAGGCAATTTTAATCAGATATTGGGCATTCCTTAGAGATGACCTTCTATTTGAGTGCAATTAGCATGTGAATCAATGCCATTACAAGATAACCAGATGGACTCCAAGAGCTCTCCACAAACAGAAAGAAATATCTAATAGTCATGCCACGAAAAAGCTTTTCCTTTAAAGGGAGCTCTTTGCCAGGGGCAGTAACACACAGAGGGAACAAGGCAAATGCTAGAAGTGTCCTTCAGGGAACAGTCAGGCAAGGAAAGTTTCATGGGATGTATGGAAATGGGAGATGTCTGAGCAGAATATGAAGCTGCTGGAACTGGTCAGGCAGAGGTGCATGGATGAGAAGCCTCCAGGCAGACGTCTGTACAGAGATGATCATGGATATGGGAGAGCTGTCTGAATGTGAAGGAAGACTGCACTGCAAACGGGGAGAGAGTTAGACACTAGTCCAGAAAATCTGTGTGGCTTAATATCAGACTTTGTCAAGTTTAACTAGAGTCATGGGCTATCTTAACTCATGTCCAATGATATCATAGAATCATAGAAGATTAGGGTTGGAAGAGACCTCCGGAGGTCATCTAGTCCAACCCCCTGCTCAAAGCCAGAAAAACCCCAACTAAATCATCCCAGCCAGGGCTTTGTCAAGCTGGGCCTTAAAAACCTCTAAGGATGGAGATTCCACCACCTCCCTAGGTAACCTATTCCAGTGCATCAGAACCCTCCTAGAGAAATAGTGTTTCCTAATATCCAACCTAGACCTCCCGCACTGCAACTTGAGACCACTGCTCCTTGTTTTGTCATCTGCCACCATGAAGAACAGTTAACTCCATCCTCTTTAGAACTCCCCTTCAGGTAGTTGAAGGCTGCTATCAAATCTCCCCCCCCTCCTTCTTTTCTGGAGACTAAATAAGCACAGTTCCCTCAGCCTCTCCTTGTAAGTCAGGTGCCCCAGTCCCCTAATCATTTTCGTTGCCCTCCACTGGACTCTCTCCAATTTGTCCACATCCTTTCTGTAGTGGGGGCCACAAAACTGGACACAATACTCCAGATGTGGCCTCACCGGTGCCAAATAGAGGGAGATAATCACTTCCCTCAATCTGCTGGCAATGCTCCTACTAATGCAGCCCAATATGCCATTAGTCTTCTTGGCAATAAGGGCACACTGCTGACTCATATCCAGCATCTCGTCAACTGTAATTCCCAGGTCCTTTTTTGCATAACTGCCGCTTAGGGAGTCGGTCCCCAGCCTGTAGCATGGGATTCTTCCATCCTAAGTGCAGGACTCTGCACTTGTCCTTGTTGAACTTCATCAGATTTCTTTTGGCCCAATCCTCCAATTTGTCCAGGTCACTCTGGACCCTATCTCTACCCTCCAGCGTATCTACCTCTCCCCCCAGTTTAGTGTCATCTGCAAACTGGCAAGGGTGCAATCCATCCCATCATCCAGATCATTAATGAAGATGTTGAAGAAAACCGCATCTGCAGTATCTGATGCTGCTAACCAAGGTAAACGCAACAGAGGGATATTTTAGTGGTTTTTTGACCAAACCTTAAAAATATTTTGGATTACCATCCTCAATTTCAGAGTCTGTTTTCCAATTAATAGCATAACTTGATATTTTGGCATTATTTTTAAAGTAAAAGAGAATACATTTTAGATAACAGTACCTCTGCACTGGTCAGCATATTGACAACAACTCATCTGTAAAAACGTTGATATCATTATATGATTGCAATGAATACCTTATCAGTATTCAGGGATCATATCTAGATAACTATACGCTCTATTCCTTTTCCTTCTCCTTCTCTGACTCTCTAAAGTAACATTTATTTGTAAAATAAATTTAGTTAATATTATCATGACATATTTATTCTGTATTTTGGTCTCCTCTGCTGATTCTGGAGGCTTCATCCTTTCACACTTTCCTGCTGTTAGCCCACACCAATCTTGTTATTGTTCAGGCTGCCTGCTGTGCCAATTCTCATCTACACTTTTGTCCTTCACAAGCTCAAGTTACCCAGAGGAGGTTCTTCCTGGTAGGCTCAAATTTTGGTGTTGCCATGAACATGAAAACATTCAGAGGTTTGGTTACATGAATACATTTTCCAAACGACAAAGTCTGAACCAATTCAAGATGTACTCAAGTGTGTGTTCTGTTTACCAAAAACAATTTAACCACACAAAAAACTACACGTCACCCAGTGTTTGCACCCTTGGTTCAGGTCATTTCTGACTAAAGCTGGCAGGATCAAAATCATTGTGTGGCTACCCGGACAGGAATATCACTGTGATAATATCAGTGGTTTAAGCTGATTAGTGAGTAGAGCACAAACCCTGTAGCTAACATTTAACTAGCTCATCCAAGTTAAAAGCCAATGGCTCCATATTACAGATCTCTCTTTGGCAGAGCACAAGCTGTACCTGTAAAGGGTGTGGATTGAAATGCTGCCTTTTTTCTAGTAGACACTGGGAAGATGACACTTCGAGATTTGCATCCAGGATTATCAACTGGACTACCCTCCATTAAAGTACATTTGTTTAATTGCCAGGTGTATTTTCAATGTTACAATAAAGCACTTACAAACTTGCAGAAAACCAAATGCTAATTTAACATTCAGGAGTTTAAGCTGCAGGTTACTTTGGTGTGGGCAAACATTCCTTTCATAGCTGTGCCAAACATCAAAGTAGAAAAAGAGAGTTCTGAGCTCATCTAGCTGAATACAGTGGAACATGTCCCAGAAAAGATTGTTGGCCTGATTTTCAGAGGTCTTGCACACCTGAATCTTCCAGGTACTCAGTAACCCCGAAAATCAAGCCATGCACTTTTTGGAAAAATAATAAAGCAGGTTACAGAGCCTATTTTGGCATCTACAGGGAAGTTCAAATCGAAGAAACTGATCCCCCTCAGTAAGTCATGACACACGCAGGTCTAAAATGTGTATTTGATATTAGTGGAATCCACAAACACAACCATGAAAGATAGAAACTGCAGCATCTATAGAAATTACCTGTCTCTCCCCACAGGCTGTCAAAGCTGTTGATCTGTGCTCGCTCCACCTCCTCTTCATCTTTTTCTGGAAGATCGAGCAGGTAGGAGACGATCTAAAACAAAGAGACATGTCAGCTCATGAACTTCAGCATGTTATATATAAACTGCTGACATCTTAACGTACGCTGTTCTGAATAAACAAAAGAAAATGAACAAAGTCTCTGCCTGGCACCTCAGTGTAGGTAAATATTCTTCCCGAGATCAGCAAGTGAGCCTGCTGCCCTGTACAAGGGAAAAAACAAGTCTCTTGAGACAACTGCACATGACGAGCCTTTATAGTGGTGCTACCTAACAACTCAGAGGCTGTGTGTGTTTTGTATACAGATTATACTGTGCATGCAGTGACTGTTCCATAGCTCCTGGGTTACCCAGAGCGACCAGTGAAGAAACAGTGCTTTAGTGACTTTCATCTTTGGATCTTGAAGTGCTTTAGAAAGGTGGGTGAATACTAACATCCCTGTTTTATTGATGGGGAAATTTAGGCACAGACAGGTGATGTGAGTTTCCTAAGGTTAAAAAGTGAGTCAAGTGAGTGTAGACCAGAACTCCAGTCTCCTGATTGTCTTGAGTTTCAGTCACTAGATTGGGCTGCCTTTAGAAAGAATTAGCTCCTTCCTAGCATGAATCAGGTTTCAGAGTAGCAACCGTGTTAGTCTGTATCTGCAAAAAGAACAGGAGTCCTTGTGGCACCTTAGAGACTAACAAATTTATTTGAGCATAAGCTTTCGTGGGCTACAGCCCACTTCATCGGATTCATGCTCAAATAAATTTGTTAGTCTCTAAGGTGCCACAAGGACTCCTGTTCGCCTAGCATGAATGACATTTACGCAGATCGCTTAAAGGTACCAACATAGTTTCCCTGGCCATTGTAGACTGGGTTTCAAAGAAAGGAATTAATCTCCTCCAAGGGTAAATTTTTGAAATTGGCTAAAATCTCCCTAGTGCTTGGTAAGATGATATGAGAAAGCAAGAGATAAAGGAGAGAACAGAGTTTATAGACAGACAAAGGTACATTTTTCTCATCCAAGAAGGGACACACAAGGCAAGAGTGGGGCAATAGTGCCTATTGTACTCAGCATAGCAACCTGACGGCAGAGAAGGGCAAGAACATCTCTCATGAACACAGCGTGCAAGGGGCTATGAAAAGAAAGGGTTTCAGTTACAACTGCCATTTCTAAGCTGCCTGCCTGGGCTGTCCATTACTGAAAAGCAACGGCACGTACAACACGGGCCCTGGGGAGCCTGAAGTCACAGACTAAACCAGTTGTCAATCAGCTTTAATACATGCTTTACTGCTAGAAGAAAAATGGTCATGCTTGTTATGTCAGCAAACTGCTTAATCAGCTGAAGTAACATTCCACCTTAACTTTATTATAATTATAAATTATATACATTTTAATTATAGTATGATTATTATATTATATAATTACTAATTATAACACTGGCTTTCCACCTCCCTTGGCTGTCAGCGTTTCAGAACATGGACTACACATCTTTATTTGTCTGCGAAGTGCCAGGTCCATTTATAGCGCTGCATACACAGTAAACTATTCTGAAACCACTTTTTAAAAAAATTACAAATATCTCCAGTAAAATTCTGGGGAAGTTTCCCATTAAAATAATCCTGCGTGCTGTTAGGAGTCATGTGACCAGGTTGCAGAGAAGCTCTGTTGCTTCAAAGGCACATCTGTTCCTAAGCAATTCAACTTGTGTTCCCTTCGACAGTGTGATTTACCCAGCTCCCTTTGATTAGCTCCTCTGATCTGATCATGTTACTTATGTTTTCATGGATTGAAGTTTCATAATTAATGAAATTAATGAGAGGGGTTTTATTTAAACAGAAACAATTTTTTAGCCAAATAGTACTTCCCAACAGGAAAATAAACAGTATTTTACATATCATCATCTCTGTGCACATAACCAACAACTGCCTCATCTCAGAGTCCCCTACCCTCACTGGGGAAGTGGGGTGAGCAGTACATGGTTTTACCTTTGCCTACTTAAAGGTATATTCAAATAAATTAGGGGCTTTTTACTCTCCCTCTGGATGGAAGCCTGCATAGATTTTGCCCAGGCCACCAAGGTTGCCAAGAAATTAGTGGATCCCACTGACTTGGGAGGAAGTTACTGACTCCACCTCCTAGACCCTCTGTGCTCAGCCTTGTGACCAGGGAACACAGCTAGCCTATTATTTCTGTATCCCACAGAGATCCCGAACAGTGTAGTTACATCTTACCTCAGTGTAGCCCATGCTGGCTGCTGCAATCAGTGCCTGTTGTATGGCATGGCTCTTCTTAAATACCCCCTGCTGTTGCCCAGCCATTGTCCAGTCACACTGAATCAAGAACTTCACTACCTCCAGGTGACCTCTGAGAGCCGCATGAACCAGGGCACACTGACCGTTTTTGTCCAAGTGATCCACCTTTCAGGGGAACAGAAAGACAAAATAAAATTAAACCAAACTCATGTTTGAAAAACCATGGCTTTCGCAGTGTCTCCAGCCCTGGCTTTGTAATAATGCCACGTGTGCAGGATGCACATTTTCTGCATTCTTCTAGTTAACCACCCCATCCATAACCAGTCAAAGTTCACTCCCAAAGAATCGCTGCCCTGAGGACAGACATCTTCTTGGCCACAGCTGTTTTCTTTGGGTAGGTCACCGCTTTACAGCTTTGGTTTTCGTCACACTAAAAGCATACTGGCCTCATTCCTGCAAAAGCACGTTTCCGCTGTGTTCTCAAGTATGCCAACTGTAGTTCCTGTTGCACTGAAATTCTACCCATTGACTTTGTCTGCCTCAGGACACAAAGAGCCACTGAGTCAAAAGAGAATGTTCTAAACCCACCATTTCACAAGTCTTCAAAATGAGCAAAAATACCTCATAATGAGTCCACTGTTAGAATGATTAGCCAGCCTGTTTTATTCAGCTGCACCTTAGTCAGCCTCACTAGAAGGGGGCAGCACAGAAACATTAATTAAAACAGAAATTTCAGGTGGTGATATTATAATCTGATATCCTACTAGGAAGCTGAGGGCTGCTTTCTAGGGGTTTGTCCACAATGTGACCTTTGGCTTCTAGGTCCTACCATAATACAAAGAGTATTGTATCACAGCAAAGCATTTCCGCTAGATTCTTTCTACTCATTAACCACTTCACTGCTGAACAACTTATCAGTTTGTTCAGGAAATGCACATGACCATTGTTGTTTAATTTATCCACGATACAACCCAACATCTCTGAACCAAAAATACCGGCTACCAGAACACTGTGTATATTCGCTCAGTACCGAAGGGTGATACTCACGAAAGCTAGCTTCTTTTTTTCCATTTGGGATGGGGATTTTTAAAATCACATTCATGCCCTGGGTTTCTCTCCCATTTCCCCCGACTGAGGATATAACGGAACTCCATTGGAAGTTTATTAAAACCGCTTCTTATCAGTGAGTGTTAGGGAGTCACCCAGCTTATCTTTTTTTTAAAGTCTATTTTTTCCTTTACATTGTCCTGACAACTCAGCAAGACCTGACATCCTGACATTCGTATTAAAACCACACAAGCCTTTAGTTTGCTTTCAGAACTAAGGCAAAACATTTACAGAAACCACAAATTGTTTCCAGGAGGCTGCCATTCCAGTTCTGGGCAAAAATTTTCTGTTCAACAAAATGTTTGAAACCTGACTCATTACACACTATTAACCGTTGAAATGCTCACCACAAAGCTAAACAAAGGGTATTCTTACTGGACGAGTTTGACAGAAGTGTTCAGAGAATATTTCCAACTGGTGTGTTGCAGTGGTTCTCAAACTTTTGCATTGCTGACCCATTTCACACAGCAAGCCTCTGAGTGTGACCCCTCCCTTATAAATTAAAAACACATTTTTTATATTAAACCCTATTATAAATGCTGGAGTAGAAGTGGGGTTTGGGGGTGGAGGCTGATGGCTTGCGACCCCCCACATAATAACCTTGTGACCCCCTAAGGGGTCACGACCCCCAGTTTGAGAACCCCTGGTGTATTGGATATTGCAAAACAATGTTGCTATTTAACACTGTGGTCAAGGACTTGTAGAGAAATGACTTCAGCGAGCCATTAGCAAGGCAGGATTCCTCAGTTCCAGTATCAGGCCTGCATCCCTGAATGCTAATTACAGACCCTGCAGAACTGCTATGCCTTTTGTGCTAGTGACATGTTTCAAAGTAGCACATTCTCATAGAAAAGCAAACCTAGCCAGCATTGTGGCTTCACCTGTGAGGAACTACAAACAGGATTCTAATCTTTTCTATCACAAGAACAAAAAACTGCAATAATTAAAAAAACCCTCACTCACACATGCACACCAGGAACAATGGAAAATGTAAGACCTGCCAATTAGGGCACACACAGTGCTATTTTTAGTACAATGCTTGGATACCATGGGAATAGGTGCCTTAGAGAAAAAGAAATGGGACAGAGAGAGATTAAGGCAAGGTCCCAAATCCCATTGAATTCAATGGAATCTGGGCACCTAACTCTCTTACACTCTTGAAAATCTCAGCCTAACTAGACAGGTAAGATAGACATTAGACAGCTAGCAACTGTGTGTGTTGGCCGGGGCGGAATCTTCATAGGCCTAAATGGGAGTTAAGTGCCTTCCTCCCATTGACTTCCAATGGAGCTGACTATCTGACTGCCTTCTTGTGCCTTTGAAATGCTCCCTCTAGACAGAAACACAAGAGGGCAGAGTTGGCATCTCTTCAGATATTTTTTAATTGCTGATGCTGCACTTGGGGCTTATAAGAACACAGGCTTTCCATACCAGATCAGATCACTGAAGCTACCCATGTTCAGGCAGTAACCAGTCCCTCCTGAAGAAGGAGAATCCTCACCATGACACAACTAATGCCCAATACTATGTGTGGTCCAGCAAACTCACACGAGATGTCCAGCCCCTTGCAGGATTAAGCATTTAATAATGAAGGGTAACTATGGCTTTGTAAGCAAGAAGGTAGGATGCTGAAGCTTCTGAAGATGCCAGCACTTGGTAACTGTAGGAATTTGGTTTAGACTGTATAGAAAATGTTCCAAGAGAGTAGGCAGTCTGTTTTTATCATTTAGCCTGTCTTCATGTGCAAAAACCAGAGGAAAGGGTGCTGTTAAGAAACGTTACTTGGCAAAGGAAAAAGCAAACAGTGGCTCAATTTCTTTCCTGAGGTTTGATATGTACTTCACATGCTACCTGCTTTCTCCTCCATGTAAATATGGAATTCCTGGGAAGTCAGAGTGTCATCAGATAAATACAGTCTCATTACCTGGGCCCGTTTCTTGCACAGTAGCATAACAATGCTCAGATATCCAGCCGCAGCAGCATATCCAAGAGGAGTCAGGCCACTTTCAGAAGAGGCATCTACGTTGGCCCCAAACTCCAGCAACAAAGCCACCATCTCTGTGTAACCAAGGTGAGACTGGACACATAAAATTGGGGCATTGTTTAGAACTTCGGTCCGGTAGTTAACATTTGCACCTCCCAAAATTAACAACCGACTGACCTGAAGGGCAAAAGAGAAACTCATCACTACAATGTTTCAACAAAAAGACAAGCCCAAAACATGGCTTTATTTTAGGTAGAGGGAGCGCTGTCTAATCTTTAACATTTTCAGAATGAACTTTGTTCTGTAATTTGCGTGGTGTTGGAGCAGGTTGGTCTTAGACAGACTGCCAGACATAGGGCCACAGGGAGCCTCACATGGGGAAAGACAGTGGGTGGTTCTGTAACCGCTTGATCATCCATCCAACAGGGGCCTTGTGATGCTTACTGGTCACCCAATTGCTGCTTCCCCTCCTGCTGCCTTCCTTGCTTTGGGCTGCAGAGCGAAAGAGACAGCTCGTGAAGCTGCGATGAGAGAGGGCCCCTGATAGGGAAGGGATAGACAGGAGGATGAAGGGCCCCCTCTCCTTACGAGGAGGCTCTCTCAGGCTGGCCCCATCCTCATGTGGGGAAAGGTCTGCAAGCCCCGAAGGTTCTCTAAAGCTATGTCTGCACTTGATTTTTTTTCCACTCTAGCTAACATATTTGTACATGCTAATCTGGACACTTCACAAATGTTTGCAGAGTGTCCATGATAGCATGTACAAATGTGTCAGCTAACTCAACTTAATTGGCAATTAACTCATGTTAAAGAACTCTGTTTCTACCACAAATGAACTTAGGATGCAATGGCTTCTTAGACCAATCCACCCTATCCAGCTCATGGGAATGCCATGTCTCATAGCCTGATAGCAATAGGTACCAGGGTTCCACGCTAGCTTGGTCTGCTCAGATTTATAATTAGAGTTTTCCTTCTAAATAGACAGACTTGCCTGAAGAGGCTAAGTGAGCTCTGTCTGTGGGTCTTAAATCAAGAGTTTTCCTTCATCTAGATATACTTGGTTCATGGCAAATGCAACCCTTTTGGGTTTCCCCAAGATGGGCTACCTCCACCCACCACCTGGGGGACACAGCTCTACACTGTTTTATCCCAGCAAATACAAGCAAGGTAAGTCCAACCACCGACTAGATGGTGGGACATCATATGCAGGGACATGACCAGGCTGGGCTTAATGGAGGAACAAGCTATGCACAGGAATGAATGGTGACATTATACTGCTTTCCATAGCTGCAAAAACGCCCTGAGATGAAAAGAAGAAAAGAACTCTAGAACAGACAAACCCCCAAGGCACTGTCAGGTTTACAACACCCAAGGGGGCTTTCTGTATATTTCGGAGAGATCAGTGGCAATGAAGGATGATAATCAGGAACAGATATGACACTGCTCTTTTATGCCACTGGGAGTGGCTGGGTCATTACACAAATTGAATCTATTTCCCCATGTTATGTATCCTCACACCTTCTTGTCAACTGTCTGAAATAGGCCATCTTGATTATCACTACAAAAGTTCCCCCTCCCTTCCTCCTCCTGGGGGGAGGGATAGCTCAGTGGTTTGAGCATTGGTCTGCTAAGCCCAGGGTTGTAAGTTCACTTCTTGAGGGGACCATTTAGGGATCTGGGGCAAAAATGGGGGATTGGGCCTGCTTTGAGCAGGGGGTTGGACTAGATGACCTCCTAAGGTCCCTTCCAACCCTTATATTCTATGCTAATAGCTCATTTTAATTAATTAGCCTCTTAGAGTTGGTATGGCAACTTCTACCTTTTCATGTTCTCTGTATGTATATATATCTTCTTACTGTATGTTCCATTCTATGCATCTGATGAAGTAGGCTGCAGCCCATGAAAGCTTATGCTCAAATAAATCTGTTAGTCTCTAAGATGCCACAAGTACTCCTGTTCTTTTTGCTCTTTTATAGGAATTAACAGAAAATCCCTGCTAAACGTAGAAGAGTTGGGGAGTCGCTACTCATTGGTATCAAATCTTAACTGGACACTTAAAGACCAAGGTCCTGGTTCAACAAGTTACTTACATACCTGTGTAACTAAGTTTCTGAGGAGTTCCATGGAGTTCAATGAGACTACTCACATGCTTAACATTACACATGTGCTAAGGACCTTGCTGAACTGGAGCCTTGGAGAATCTTTTGTACTTGGACCACTGGAGGCTGAAAGCACTAAACCAGCTCGTCAACTGTCTGTTCTGTACAGTACCTTTATGTTAGGGGTGTAGAGGTTTCGCAGAGATGCCAATGCCATTGAAAGACCTTCTGTGCTGTAGGAGATCCAAAGCCCTTGCAAGATAGACGAGGACACCCCTACTTTTTTACTCAGCCCCTAAAGAGAGAGATTCATCCAGTTAGTTCTAGTACCCAACATATTTGCTTTATGTTATGCAGAAGGAATTACTACATGTAATAGAAAATATTAATTAACAAAAGAATTTCACAGATCTCAGGCTGTAGAATTAGATTCTTGCTAACAACAAAAAGCCAGTTAGCTGAGAATAACTTTAAGCATTTATAATAACCACACTCACTTAAAATTCAACCTTTATCAACAAAGTGCTGGCAATACAAAACCCTTATTTAAAAAAAATACTAGATGCAGTGGGGCAGATCCTCCGTTAATATAAAATGCCACAGTAATGAGCTGCCGGCGACACAGAAACGTGCAGCTGTGGCTTACTGTTAAAGGCTCGTATTCTCGTCCCAGTGCATCTTTCTTTAATGGAGAATGAGAATGCTAACCAAAATACTCTTCCCCGCCAGTTAAGAATAGTCTCTACAGACTAAGGTTGCCACAGAAGCCATTTATCACATTAGACCCCCGCTGTGAACGAATAACTTGTAGCCCCAAGAAAGAATCCCCAAGTTAATGCTGAAGTGATATCTTTAAACCAGCCCTGTCACTCTGAGGTTACAGGGTCCCGCTGAGCTCTCTTTCAGAGAGTCCCATTACACTGGGTAATGTGGCACATTCTTTGTTTGTTTATAAAGTACCTAATACCGTGGCAGAAACTGATTCGCAAAATATTCTTCTTATTCACAGAGCTGACTCAACTTGTCCTACATACTCCATCATAGAAAGATAAATTAAGGAACTTTTACCAAAAGAGAGTAGACATTTTCATATCTAATATTAGATTATCTCCAAATATCTTCTTATTTGGTAAACATAGTTATTTTATGCTTACTAGATACCAAGTACTAAAGTCTTTTTGAACAGCACTAAATTATAGGTCATGTAATAGTCAAGGGAACTTGCTTTCCTGCTATAAGAATGATAATTTATTCATAACAAACAGATATTAATCAGTGGCCTGATGATAGGCAAAAGAAAAGGGGAGCCTATTTTTGGATCAGGTTTTAAAAGGATAGCTTTACTTCTATAGTGCTTTAACATTATTTCTACTGTAGTCTCCAAGGAATTGTACAGATGTCTTTGGCTACTATTTTGACATGCAAGACCTGATTTCCCACTGCCTTGAACCTTGTGTGGTAATTTACACTTGTGCAAAGTGAGTGTAACTGCTACCAGTTCAAGTTGGTAGTGTTTTACACCCATTTTGCAATAATGTAAACAACCATACTAGGCCTAGGACAATGAAATAATTATGCATAAAATCTCTATAGATTTTTACTGCCATTGTTTGATCATCATCATTTGTTGGCATTAAACAGCAATGACTGTTTTGCCGTTGTAATCTGACATGTTCCTCTATATACTTGCATTAGTAACCTTTTGTCTTAACATCATGATACCACAGACTTGAACATTTTTTTATCTAGAGACCATCATAGAGCATGTCAGTCGAGTGGCTGGACTGTACTACCTAAGTAACAAATAGTAACTACTGTGAATACTTAAAGGCATTTTTTCAGTTAAATATACTTACCATTTAAAACCATTTTATTTTAGAAAAACAATAGAAGGTACTTGTCCTAATGAAGAACTAACAGTTTTCTAAATTTATTATTTTCAAGTCCTGCAGCTTTTAGCTAAACATTTGTCAAATAAAGACCATAAGAACGGCCATACTGGTTCATCAATGGTTCATTTAGCCCAGTATCCTGTCTTCAAACAATGGCCAGGGCTAGCACCTAGCCCTGGCCATTGTTTGAAGACAGGATACTGGCAGTTGGAGATTTAGGGACACCTGGAGCATGGGGTTGCATCCCTGACTATCTTGGCTAATTGTCATTGACGGACCTATCTTCCATGAATTTATTATTCTTTTTTTAACCCAGTGATATGTTTGGCCATCGCAACATCCCATGGTAGCAAGCTCCACAGGCTGACTGTGCATTGTGTGAAGAAGTACTTCCTTACGTTTGTTCTAAGCCCTTTTGCCTATTAATCTCATTGTGTGACCCCTAGCTCTTGTGTTATGTGAAGGGGTAACTAAATACTTCCCTATTCACTTTTTCCACACCCTTCATGATTTTATAGACCTCTATCATATCCCCCCTTAGTTGTCTCTTTTCCAAGATGAACAGTCCCAGTCTTATTAATCTCCCCTTGTAAGGAAGCTGTTCCATACCCCTAATCATTTTAACTACCCTTCTCTGCACCTTTTCCAATTCTAACATATCTTTCTTGAGATGGTATTCAAGTGTGTATTCAAGGTGTGGGCATACAGTGGATTTTTATAGTGGCATTATGATATTTTCTGTTTTATTAACTATCCCTCTCCCAATGGCTCCTAGCATTCTGTTTTTTTGACTGCCGCTGCACATTGAGCAGATATTTTCAGAGAACTATCCACAATGACTCCAAGATCTCTTTCTTGAGTGGTAACTGCTAATTTTGACCCTACCCTTTGCATGTATAGTTGAGATTATTTTTTCCAATGTGTGTTACTTTGCATTATCAAGAGTGAATTTCATCTGCCATTTTGTCACCTTATTGCTCACTTTTGTGAGATATCTTTGTAACTCTTCAGTCAGTTTTGTATTTAACTATTTTAGTAATTTTGTATCATCTGTAAATTTTGCAGCCTGTTTATCCCCTCTTCCAGATTATTTATGAACATGCTGAACAGCATAGGTCCCAGCAGAGATCTTTAGGGGACCCTATTTACCTCTCTCCATTGTGAAAACTGACCATTTATTCTTACCCTGTTTCCTGTCTTCTAACCAGTTACGGATCATGAGATGAACTTTCCTCTTATCCCATGACTGCTTACTTTTCTTAAGAGCTTTTGGTGAGGGACCTTGTCAAAGGGTTTCTGAAAGTCCAAGTTCACTATATCCACTGGTTTCAGAGTAGCAGCCGTGTTAGTCTGTATTCACAAAATGAAAAGGAGTACTTGTGGCACCTAAGAGACTAACCAATTTATTTGAGCATAAGCTTTCGTGAGCTACAGCTCACTTCATCGGATGAAGTGAGCTATAGCTCATGAACGCGTATGCTCAAATAAATTGGTTAGTCTCTAAGGTGCTACTAGTACTCCTTTTCTTTTTATATCCACTGGATCACCCTTGTCCACATCCTTGTTGACTCCCTCAAAGAATTCTAACAGATTAGTACTGCATGAGTTCCCTTTCCAAAAGCTATGTTAACTCTTCCTCAAAATATCGTGTTTATATACATGTCTGATAATTTTGTTCTTTACTACAGTTTCAACCAATTTGCCTCATACTGAAGTTAGGATTACTGGCCTGTAATTGGCAGGATCACTTTTGGAGCCTTTTTTAAAAACAGGTATTATATTAACTACCCTCCAGTCATCTGGTACAGAAGCTGATTTAAGCGCTAAGTTACCTGCCACGATGAATAGTTCTTCCATTTCATATTTGAGTTCCTTCAGAACTCTTTAGTGAATACCATCTGGCCCTGGTGACTTATTACTGTTTAATTAGTCAGTTTGTCTCCAAACCTCCTTTACTGACACCTCAGTCTGGAACAGTTCCTCAGACTTCTAACCTAAAAGAATGGCTTGGGTGTGGGGATCTCCCCCATGTCCTCTGCAGTGAAGACTGAAGCAAAGAATTCATTTAGCTTCTCTGCAATTGCTTTGTCTTCGAGTGCTCCTTTAGCCCTTTGATTGTGCAGTGGCACTTATAATTGTTTGACAGACTTCCTGCTTTCACATTTACTGAATTTTTTTTTTTTGCTGTTAGTTTTTCTGTTCTTGGCTAGCTGCTCTTCAAATTCTTACTTGGCCTTATTATAGTTTTATAGTTGACTTGCCAGAGTTTATGCTCCTTTCTATCACAATCAGTAAGATCAGACTTCCAATTTTTAAAGGATGCCTTTTTGTTTCTAACTGTCTCGTTTACTCTGCTGTTTAGCTGTGATAGCATTTAATAGAATCATAGAAGATCAGGGTTAGAAGAGACCTCAGGAGGTCATCTAGTCCAACCCCCTGCTCAAAGCCGGATCAATCCCAGCTAAATCATCCCAGCCAGGGCTTTGTCAAGCCAGGCCTTAAAAACCAATAAGAATGGAGATTCCACCACCTCCCTAGGTAACCCATTCCAGTGCTTCACCACCCTCCTAGTGAAATAGTTTTTCCTAATATCCAACCTAGACCTCCCCCACTGCAACTTGAGACTATTATTCCTTGTTCTGTCATCTGCCACCATGGAGAACATGGTGGCTCCATCCTCTTTGGAACCCCCCTTCAGGCAGTTGAAGGCTGCTATCAAATCCCCCCCCCCTTCTTTTCTGCAGACTAAATAAGCCCAGTTCCCTCAGCCTCTCCTCATAAATCATGTGCCTCAGCCCCCTAATAATTTTTGTTGCCTTCTGCTGGACTCTCTTCAATTTGTCCACATCCCTTCTATAGTGGGGGGCCCAAAACTGGATGTAATACTCCAGATGTGGCCTCACCAGTGCCGAATAGAGGGGAATAATCACTTCCCTCAATCTGCTGGCAATACTCCTACTAATATGCCATTAGCCTTCTTGGCAACAAGGGCATACCGTTGACTCATATCCAGCTTCTCGTCAACTGTAATCCTCAGGTCCTTTTCTGCAGAAGTGTCGCTTAGCCAGTTGGTCCCCAGCCTGTAGCAGTGCATAGCATTCTTCCATCCTAAGTGCAGGACTCTGCACTTGTCCTTGTTGAACCTCATCAGGTTTCTTTTGGCCCAATCATCCAATTTGTCTAGGGCCCTCTGTATCCTATCCCTACCCTCCAGCGTATCTACCTCTCCTCCCAGTTTAGTGTCATCCGTGAACTTGCTGTGGGTGCAATCCATCCCATCATCCAGATCATTAATGAAGATGTTGAACAAAACTGGCCCCAGGACTGACCTCTGGGACACTCCGCTTGATACCGGCTGCCAACTAGACATCGAGCCATTGATCACTACCTTTTGAGCCTGATA